CGTCAAGCGCCGGATCGATCATCTGGAGCGAATCGTCCCACGTCAAGGCGAGGAGCTTAGTCTCGGAGATGTGAAGCTCCAGAGCCAACGAGCCCAAGTCAAACACTTTGCGTGGTTTCAGCTTCTTCTCGACAGGGTCCAGCACATCCCAGTGGAGTACTTGGTCGACGCAATAGATCACGCTCTCCTCATGTCCTATTACTGAGTAGACCGGTCCATCGCAGTTTTTCTTAAATCGTGTCCAGTATTTTATCAAAGGTGGGTGGTCCCCGTTCAGTGGCTCCTTTTCCGTCGACACGATAATGAGCTGGCCTTGTTTGGTACCAACAAGGAGATAGCGCCACGTCCCGTTATTCTTCTTGTACTCCCACTCGGCCAGACCATAAATTCGGTCGTCAGGTTTACCCAGCCCAACAATATACTGAACAGGAGTTCCTGCTTTGTGGATCGGTCTCCCAATGTCCTTTCCCGTGTCAGGATCCATGAACATCAGCGTCGACTTGTTTCCCTCCTCATTGACACCGACCACCAGGCAACGCAGGTTGGGTGAGAAAAACGTCTTGACTGGTGTCTTCCCAATCGTGATATATCGATGAGCCGGACCAGGCTCCTGGTGTAGCTCGGCGATGATTGCACTCGACCCCGCCAGCATGAGGATCGGGGTAAATCCTTCACTCGCGCATGGAATATCGATTGCCACGCTGTACTCTACAAGTGGTAGAGGAGCACCTAGATCGCCCGCGTTGACAGGCATGACACGATATTTTGCCAAGTCATGGACAGAACCATTTGGCCCATGCTCATCGAGTTGTACTTCAATAGAGACTTGATCGCAGGAGACCAGCACTCTCGGTCTCACAGTCTGAGAATGCCGGGCCGCAGTCACGTTCACCGCCGTCAGTCCGAGTTGTTGGTAGTAGGCCATCGTAGTACCCTTCCACTCCTTCGAAATGTGAATGAGCTCTCCGCCTCTGGTTCCTAGGAATATTGCGTTATTGACAGAAGCGATGCTCCCGATTGCTTTGAGAGGCACGCCATCTCGATATCCGGTAAATCCAGCCGATGTCACAAGTCCTATCAACACATCAGTATAGTGGAAACCAAAGCAGGAGGCAGCATGGGATTCAGCTGGCCCAGATGTGCTGGGTCAACCTTACGTTCTGTAATATCAATTTCCTCAGTATCTTGTGTGTCTGTCTCAGTTGTCGGGGCACGGATGAGCAAGTATGGACGTCCGTCCTTCCAAAGACCGACAATGATCCCAAGGTTCTGGCTGTGATGTAGCGAAGTCACGTCCCCAGGTACGTCGAACTGGATTTGAGAAACAACTGCTGTCCCATAGAACTTGAAACTGTAAATTCTGAACTGTGGCCCAACATGTGTTGAGACAGTGATCCAGTCATCCGTAACGTAAGCGTCCGACACTGATACCTGCGGCTGATCCGGTAGAAGCTTGTCAAAAGACAATCGGGTCCTGTAATACTGTTAGAATAACTCATGCACGTGGGCTTGGGAGCTTCGTACCACTCGTCTGTACGAGACTGGGCCTCGTTCTTGAAGAGTGTGATTGAGGCGGTGGTCACTTGGACAGTAACCCCATTTACCTGCGCCACAGCCAAAGTGGGCGAGGACAAGTCGTAGAGGACCTGGTCGGGTTCCGGATCTGTTAATTCTGAAAAATCATCTGGCAGTTGCCAAACCTTCGACCGAGTAGGGGTAGTCCACAACAGATCGTAACGCCCATGTGTGTTGGAGAAATTAAGAAGCCAGGCTTGTTTCAGCCCCTCCTCAAGTTCGAGCTCCAATCCAATGTCCGCTCTCAGTCCATGTCGGTATTCAGTGATGCAACCTGTCAGTCCATGACCAGAGGCCGCAAATATCCTATCAGGTGCTCTAAGCTGCCCGTCAGTTGACGGTGCAATGCTCGTTCCAAAGGAGTCAGGAGCTTTCTCTCCTGAAGAAGGACTATCAGTCGTCGCGAAATCTAGGGTGGGGGCACCACTAGGTAAGGTGCCTATCCGCAATGGGTGGTCTCGTGGGGGGATCTAAAATAACGTCAGTCAAAGACACCAAAGGCGAGGCTGATTCTGCAAACCTTCCAAACACTCCCCGTGCCGTTATCGCTGCCCAGCACGAGAACATCCGCGTACTGATCAAACAAGTAGGCGAATGCCGACGATATATTGCATTTGAAGGCGTCAATGAAGGTCGAACGCTCCAACGCATGATCTTCATCGACTTCGATGTAGACAACAATGCCGTCCTCTCTGGCAAGGTATAAGCAGTCTTTGCCTTTGAGATAACGTGGCAATCTATATGGCCTATCCCAGGCTGTCCACAACGGTTTTCCAGTACCATAGTAATTTGGGCTCTTCGGAGGTGCCTCAAGTTCCAAAGTATCGAATCTGGGCGGGCCGTGCAAACATTCGGTGCACACAGCAACCTGTTCTGGAGAAATGGCGATAAAAGCTGATCCAACGGTCAAGGGAATGAGGAGTTGAGGCATTTGGTTTTCGACTGGCAATCGATGGCCACGCTTCTCTTCGGCGAAGACAGTGGCAAGGTCATCCCCCAACGTCCACTCGTAAATAACCATTCTTGACTTGCCATGGTTGACGACAATGAGCAGAAGAATGATGTGATCCTTGTCTTCTGGCCGTGGGTACAGAAATGTGAGGCTTTGTATCACGCCTTGAACGCTCCGCAATCGCCAGCTCTTGACTATTTCCACCGTGTTTTCGTCTTGTGGTTGAGTGAAATTGGCGAGAGACTCGAGCTCACCTACGGCAAAGAGACCGTGATAGCTGCTCAAGGCCATGTAACGCGAGCTTGGATCTACAGCCATGTGGGCTCCGAAATTGCCGTTCAGAAACTGTGGAGGCCGTCTAAACAAGAATTGGGTAGAACTGTAAAACTCAGGTCGGCCGCCGTCGACCCCTGGGCCAATCCAGAGGAAGACGACATCGGCATTTTCCATGGCCAGTGCAAGCAACTGGGGCGGCAGCTGAGACGTCGAACCAGACGGGGGCGACGAGTGTACGTCCTGGTCCTCCATTTTCACGGGGGTTTCAATGTCCATGGCAGGATTGAGGTCGTCGACGCCATCCGGAATATCGAAAGAGCCAACCACACAGGCGTTGCGAATATTGTGTGGGAATCTGCGGAAGAGTATGTCTCGGAACTGGCCGTTGCTTTGAAATTCGCGGATTTGGACAGAACGATGCTGGGGAACAGGTCAGTACCGCCAACCGAAGCCTAGAACATTCAAGTTTCAACAACTTACGCCTATAAAGGCAACATCGTTGTGATGAGGCGATCTGAGCCTTACGGGCAGCACCGACTTCACCATCTGGCTATCCGCCATGGTCCTTGTGAGTAGTCCGCATACTGGAGTTTCAGTCTGCTCTGTTCTCCTTGGACCTTGCGCAGGCTTTGCCTTGAGAATGGTCTGAATGCTGACTGTCTCGGTGACCCATTCGCCATTGCGGAGGACATTGGTTCTGAAGGTAGCCATGTTGGTGAAATGAGGCTGATCAGCGCCTTAGTAGGATGTGCTCCGTCACGGGTCGGCCGGCTCGGAAACGTGCAGTATTCAGCCTAGTGAAGGGGTTAGTTTCTGGTTGAAATGCATATTTCTGGGTCAAGGGCCTCTCAGATAACGATATGTTGATCTGAGGCTATTCCAAAGAGGACATGAATGTCAAAGGAGAAAATGATTGGGTTTAATGGGAAAAGGGCAGCGCAGTGTTCAAATAAGTACCTTGAGCAAAAACGGGGGCAAAAAAAACAACAATTAAAAAAAGAAACAAGACAGCTGCCTCTCTGCAGAGAACAAGCTGGCGCAAGTCTCAGTGATGGAAAGAAAAAGACGGCAATAAAAAGGAATGTAAGATGTCGTGAAGTATCGACTCACCTTGGGCTGTAGGTTGTACCACCTCTCCAGGCTGCACAGACATAATAAGTGTAGTAGTAAACAGGCGGGAGCAAGTGAGCGTTGCCAATGGTATCTACCCACCCAGGCAGTGGCCGCTTTACCACCGCAATCAGAATACCTACGGCGAGACGGGAGGTCTGTGGAAAGACGATGAGATGCCGCCGTCTATTGGTATGGACAGTAGCTGCCGCAGTGCAAAGAAGCGGCAGTAACCCGAGAAACAAACAACTGGTGTGCAGCAGAAAGGGAGAACTGACAGCAAAGTGCCGATTCCGCACTATCGACAACTGACCGGCTGAAGTGTTGATAGATTATTCATGTTGAAAGAGATTGATGGAGAAAGGTTGAAGGTGGGGGTGAATATGGCAGAAGCTGTGTTGTTAGTGTAGGTACTCTATCTGAGGCAGAAGTGGTGAAAGCTCCAGGCGGCTAGATAGTAGTGCAGGTGGTGGGGCAGGGCAACTTTTAAGCAGGTGGGTTTGACTACTACATATTTTCGTGATGCCCTGTGCCTTCCTTCGGCAGGCATTCATTGAAATGTAAACAACTGAACCTCCAAGACTTGGAGGAGACAATGCTGTGACCCCAATCTTAAATGTACCGCACATGAGAGAGGATGGACGAGAATGGTTGATTGACAGGTCTAAAACCCCAATAACAAATAAAAGATTCAAGGCAAGGCAATTGCTGCAGCCCGAGATGGACCAGCGTCCAAGACACAATTCCCATGTTCCACGCCCGCCCCATTGGGTTGGGTTGCTACAGCAGCCGCGAGATGTACCGCCCTATGACACAGGCGCACGTTGCCTGTGCTGCACTGGAGAGCTCTTTTCAACGCTAACAGTTTTCTTAGCATGGATGCCCTATAGTCTCAACCTAGCCTAACTGTACATACAACCTCGCCCAAAGTCAACAACATCCATCACATGTCCAGACTTGGAAGCCCAACTCTCCACAGATACAGCATCACCATCTGAAAGTCCAAACCGTCTGGAGATATATAAACATAACCGATCAAGTCAAACACTCACAACGACGTCACTCATTCAACGTTGACAGACTCACCTTGTCTCGCCATCAGCAGTTGCATAGGTAAGACTCCTACCCATCTGTTCTCTCAGGGGCAGACTACTAACCGAAATACAGGTCCAACATTACAAAACACGCAAAATTTCTCTCGATCTGACGAGCTCAGGTCTGAAGGTCTTCATTCTATTTTCGAGTCCTTAAATAGGTAGTAACCAGGCACCAACTTGACTGTTCCAGTCACCAACCAGTCCTGGTCCAGTTAGAGCCTCCAGCAGAATGTCACAGATGGACAGCGGCAGCTCAAGTGAAAGCGGTGATTCTCTTTCAGAGAAGGAGGAGAAAGTCATCATCGACCCATTCTTCACCGAGAAGGAAGCCGCCATTCTCAAAGCATGTTCCCAACGAGACCTCACCAAACTCCGTGACCTCGCCGAATCACGAGGGGGTTTCCTAACCGACGAACTTCGTCAACAAGCATGGCCCATCCTCCTCGGCCTCCCACCAGACTCCTCCTCCTCCTCCTCCTCCTCCTCCTCCTACTCCTCCTGGGACTCCCTCCCCCCTCACCAAGACGAAGACCAAGTCCAACTCGACGTCGACCGGTCCTTCACCTACTACCCCTCCCACACCTCCGACTCCGCGCGCTCCTTACAAAAATCCCTTCTCTCCTCGCTCATCCTCTCCGTTCTCCGCCGGCACCCCTACCTCCACTACTTCCAAGGCTACCACGACATCTCCCAAGTCCTTTTACTCGTCCTCCCCGCCCACCTGCGCTCGCCCGCACTCGCCCGCCTCTCCGCCCTCCGCATCCGCGACTTCATGCTTCCCAACCTCCAAGCAGCCATCGCCCAACTGCGCCTCATCCCCGACATTCTAAGGGTATCCGACCCGCCTCTCTGGCGGCACCTATCAGGAACCGAACCCTTCTTCGCCTTGTCCGGGACGATAACCATGTACGCGCACGACATCACCACCCTCGGAGAAATCACCCGCTTGTTCGATGTTTTGTTGGCGAGGGAACCCGTGTTTAGCGTGTACATGTTTGCTGCGATCGTCAGGTCGCGGAGGGAAGAGCTGTTTGAGACGCCGGAAGACGAGCCGGAGATGTTGCATTCGATTCTGTCCAAGCTGCCGCAGCCGCTGGATCTGGAAGGGCTGATTGGCGATACGGTGGCGCTGTTTGCAAAGTATCCACCTGAACGGCTGCCGAGTTGGCGGTGGGGGATTTCGGGGTCGAGTGTGCTGAAGACGGCGAGAGAGGGGGACAAGAATAAAGGGGCGACTGGGCAGACGATGGAAGATGGAAAGAGGTTTTTTGAGAGGCAGGTGAGGGAGTTGTTGTGGTTGGAGAGGAGGGACAAGGCAAGGAAGTGGATGTGGAAGAATAGGAGGCCGGTGAGGACGTTGGGGCTGGCGGTTTTGGTGGGTATTATTGCGATATTGCTGAGGAGGGCGCCGGGCGGGCCGATGGCTTGGGTCATGGGGGTTGTAAATCGGTGGTGGTTGACGTAGATGGGAGGTGAAGTAGAGCATCATCATGGAAATGGAACTTGTAAAAGCAGGAGACCACCAAGGGCGAGGATTGCTGTGAAACAACTGTCATAAACGTGGATACCCAGAACTCGAGACGTCAAGCTCTTTGAAAGAATCAAGTTACTTCATTATGCCAAATCTGTTGTATGTACAAGGCAGGAACCTTCCCGACCGAATATTTTCTCTAACTATTGGCCCGCATACCAAAAACCTCTAGATATTCTCTTGTACGCTCGCCTTAAGTGACTCAAAGTGGTCCTGTTGTTCCGTCGCAAGCTTGCCGCTCACATCGCTGATGATAGTCAAAATCAAGCTGTAATTATTATACAGGAACCTGTCCCGTTTTCTCGCATCCGCTCCCAGTTGCGCCTGGCTATACTTGGCCAGGAACGCCTCCACCTCGATACGCAGTCTGTGTAGACTGCTGACGATCGGCTCATCATCCCCTGCTTCGGTACTCAGGGCAAGCACGCCGTGAAGGAATTGCCCGAATCGCTGGGTTACGACGTGCGGAGCCGCCGAGGCTGTCTTTGCTTGGGAAGCGGACCCGGCCTTGTTGGGGAGCGCAGAAGTCAGAGCCTTGACTGATTCGCAATGGGCGTCCATGACGCTCTGCAGACGTGGCCACAACACCATGGCGGTGCCGTTGATGTAGCCATCTACAACGGGAACTCGGCGCCGTTGTAATTCAAAGGCAAAGTGCTGGTTCAGACGCACGCATAGCAGTAGACCGAGTCCGTCATATGTGTCTGACACAAGCTGCTTGGTGAGGGCTTGCCCAAGGGCAAAGGTCGGATCGAAGATGTAGTTAAAGTGGCGCGAGACGACCGCAAGCGATAGCGCCGGGCTGAAGAAGGACACGAGAAATGTGTACTCTGCCGTGGCGTTGTCGACCAGGGCAAGGTTGAAGTTGCGAAACGGAACCTCAAGATAATGTGTGGTCTGGTCCTCGTCGGCCAGGTAAGATGACATGGCTATCTGATCCTTAGTCTTGAGCAATTCGTTCCTTCGGCCGATGCTAAAGGCGTCATGGGGCACGCCTCCAAGCTTGGATCCAGACAAGACAGTCGTTCTTCGAGAAGTGTCCTCGTGTCCCATTGCGTCGTTTTTATCGATAATGTGTAGCTTCAGCTTGTCCAAGGACTGTTTGTAGCGGGTAAACTGGTTCAAATAATACCACCGCATGGTGTTCATATAGGCCTGACATATCTCGCCGGCGAGTGTGGGTTGATGTTTTTGGAGGAACGCGAATAGATCCTTGAACCGGAGGAAATTCTGCTGTTGAATGATCTGGGCGTTGATGTGAGGCGACCGCATTGCTTTGATTTGCGCAACCAAGAAGTCCCGTATGCGTTCAATAGCCTTTCAGAAAAATGTGTTAGAAACAGAACTGCCAGATCCCAACAACAATCCTTACCTTGAGGATGAGCTTTTCCAGCAATGGACCGACATCAGCCAACGCTTTGCTCTGTGGTTGTTGCGCATTCTTCTTATGAGCCATGGCTCTCTTGTCCACTTCGGCCAAGACCTTCACCCATGTTTCGTCGATATGACCTTCGACAATCGTTGTTATTACGAGAGGAGAGACGCTCAGCTCGTCCACCAAGGGTCCCAAACCCTTTTCTACAGCCTTTCGGTTTTCCAGTCTCACATTAAGAGCTTGGGATCGCGCCTGGAGGCTTTCAATATCGGCTGACACAGCAGCTAGGTCATTGCGAAAGTTGGTGAGGTTGGATTCGACGGAGCTCAGGATGTCATCGCATGCGCGGATGGACCGATGTAGGTCCTCGAATTTGGCCTTGTCTCGCTCATCTGGAAAGCACTTTATAAGCATGGATGGAGAGCAAGACACGGTAGGAGCAATAAGGTGGCATCGTACAATCTTGAACACTTTGGGGCTTGTAGTTGTCGACTTGGCGCGAACTGACGTCAGGGCCGGCGAGCTCAGTCAGGGTCAAGCCGCCAAAGTCAACGTCAAAGTCCAGGTCATCTTCGGTGATGCCGCTGGCCGGTTGTTGTGTGGTATTGCTACTGGGAAAGTGGCCTAGAATCCTAGCCAGGACCTCTTCGGGATCTGGCGCATCGTCCACGGTAGAGGACTGCCTCAAGGAGGAGCCATTGACTTTCTTGGCCGAGGCGAGGAGGGAAGACGACGAGTCGTTCGAGACCAGAGACAAAGCAGAAGACCCTCTTGTGTTCAGTCCAGGCCTCTGGGGGGCAAGATATGGACCGCGCGAGCTGGTGCGTTGGGGCAGCGGCGAGACGGAGCGGTTGTTCGGCGGAGGAGCTGCGCTTCCTGGATGCTGGCCGGGACGTCGATCAAGCCACATAGCGAATCAAGCACCGCCAGAGACGAGGCGACGCGAGGAGCATGCTGGTGCAAGCAGGAAATCGATATGGGACACTCGAAACGGTTGTCGTTGTCTTCTGTCATATGCCGATAAACGTGGGACTTGGGCGATTCCGTTGTCGCGCTCCGTCGCAGCTTGGTTCAGTTAGGTTTGTCTCCAGGAGACCCTTGGAATCGTCGAATGCGCGCCAGCTCGGCTTGGCATGGAAGTGGAAGTGGAATGATGGATGCCCTGAGAGTTACCTAGGTAGCAGCAATTGCCTGGCACCAGCAGCAGCAGCGAGTAGCGGGGACGGGCACCTAGCTGGGTCCAGGGCACCCGACACAAACAAGGCTGGCCAGGCTAGCCCTCTGCCCTCCACCAGATGGTGAGGGTTACAGGTTATGCATGCAATCTGATTGGTGAATTCGCTCCGCCACCACTCACAGCGAGCGGGTCCCGTGCCAGATATTGGAGCTTTCCCGCATATTGCCTAGCCTGGCCGCCTTAGCCAGACATAAGGCGGGGCGGGAGAACTGACCTCTTCAGTTCCGCGACACCACAAGAGGAGAGATCGATCACGATCGCGGGTGCAGAACTCTACATCGATGCATGCCATTTGTACTCGGAGGTTTTTGCTCAGAAGGGGATGGCTAGGTCATGACCATCCATGAGACGACCAGGGGCCAAGATATATATTCAAGACTATCTAGTAAAGACACATGTAAAGGCACTCGATGCTGACTTGAGTTGTCGAGAAACTCAAACAAGTAGGAGCTTGTTGTGTAACTAAACAGCGGGGTCGAGTTTGCGTGTACCGGTCAGTCAGGAGAGCCAGGGAAAGACTGGAGAAATCTTGCTTGGTGTAATGGTCTGCGGCCAGTGGCTTGGAGGCAATGTATGCCCGACTTGTGATGTATTGGAGAAGGATGGCCTTCCAAGTATTGTGGAGGCCACAAATCTGACTAAATACCCAGTACTGGGCATACACCCTGTGCCTGGCACTGTGGGTTGTACCCACCACTTCCACATGTGGGGTTCTGGGCTTGTGCCCTGACACTTGGTCTCTGATGCAGACTGACTGCGGACTGCAGACCCAACAGTCGTAACAGACAACCTTCTGAATGGAGTGAGGAGACACGCAGCCAAAGATGGAAAGGGTGGGCGGGAGCGAAGGGGACGGGGACTGGACTGGAGGGTTAGAGGTGAGCACTGTTTTAAAATGTGGCACGTGAGGAGGGTTAAGTGAGGGTTAATGCAGCAAGCAAGCAACCTAAGCCCAGACTCGTTGGCCAATTTGTTCCAACAACTGAAACCTCTCAGAGGCAAAAAACTGACTCTGCGCGGACTGCGGTGCCCGCCCTGGGCCTTTGGGTGCAAGTTCCGTTCGTTGTGTGTGCCATGCCAGTGTGAGAGTTGTGGGTGCTTCCCACCAGGTGGCAGGGAGGAGGGGCCTTTCCTGACTGGACCACTGGCGGGGATGCTGCATTTTTTCGTCCCTCTCGACTCCCGTGCTCAAAATCGCTTTTTTTTCCTTTTTCAACTCCCTCTATATTTTTCCTCTCCCCGTGCCGCCTCCAGCGTCTTGATCCATCATCTTCTGTCTCTCCTTGCCCTTTCGACGGTTTATCCTTTGTCAATCCTTTCAAGATGTCTGCCGCCCACGACGACGCTGTAAGTCCATCTCCCGCCTGTTAATGCGCCCATTCACAATCATCGTCACACACTTCATTATGCCCGGTGGTCGCTTGCGGGCGGCGGCTGTCTGCGTGGGCAGACTCGTCACCCCGCATCGCTCTTCATCGCCCGACCCCCTCTCGCTCCTCCGGTGGTGTTTTTCCTTGGACGGGAATGGCTTCTTTTGATCGCCTCACGCACGAAACCCGAATCGCACCATCTCTCACCTGATTACCCATCGCAATAGCCGCGTCCATCAGCAACAAAGAGGCATTGGGTGCTAACCAACATGTCCCCATATATAGCAGCATGAGCACACCTTCGACTCCGTCGACGCTGGTGCGTCCGCCACCTACCCCATGCAGTGCTCTGCTCTGCGCAAGGGTGGCCATGTCGTGATCAAGAACCGTCCCTGCAAGATCGTCGACATGTCGACCTCCAAGACCGGCAAGCACGGTCACGCCAAGGTCCATCTCGTCGCCATCGATATCTTCACTGGCAAGAAGCTCGAGGATCTCTGCCCCTCCACCCACAACATGGACGTTCCCAACGTCAAGCGCACCGACTACCAGTTCGTACGTACTATCTGGACGCCCCCGAGATTGCTGGGTCCGGAGCTTAGAAGCTAACTTTGTGCAACAGTCCTACATCGACGAGGACTTCCTTGTCCTCATTGACTCCAACGGTGAGGAGAAGCGTGACGTCAAGATGCCCGAGGGTGAGCTTGCCAAGCGCATTGAGAAGCTCGAGGAGGAGGGCAAGGACTTCTGTAAGTTTCCCCGACACGTGCGCTATTCCAGCTTGCGCGATACTAATACTGCTATACAGTCGTCGGTGTCCAGACCGCCATGGGTGAGGAGGCTGCCATCGATGTCAAGGAGGCTTCCAACAAGGATTAAAGGAAGTTTGGAGGAGTTGGAGGGACACCGGACGTTTGGCATTTAATGATGGCTTCATGGGACGGTTCTGTTGGTTTTTGCCTGGCTAAGAGATATCCGTCTTTTTTGCGCTATATCTGTGTTTAAGGGTCACATATGAATGGTTTCACGTCTCCCCGTTTTGTTGGACCCGGTAGCTGCTGGAATAGGGCGCGACTTCCTGAAGGAGTCGCACGAAGCTAACGTCTGCCAAACATCATGAGCGTCTCGTGGTCTTTGTATCGGTGCGGATCATTGAATTCTGGTTGTTCGCGAATCGCAAAAGAGCCGTGCTGTTTGTTAGCACAACGGACGTTTGCTGGATTGAGTTGTTGGTTGGTCCAGGTTGGCTTCTCCGTTCTGAGTACCTCTCTGGTCTCGTTTAGTCTCCGATAGGATGAGCAAAGTTCATGCCGTGTGGGGATAATGATACCGAGGCATGACTGGCGGCGCAACTGACGTCGACATGTACATACGTATCGACTTTCACGATTTAAGCATATGCTAGTCTCCGTCAATGTGTGGGTCATTCTATGGGATATCATAAAAGCATCAATGAATTAGGTAGTCTTTGTGGTGTACCTATACCAATCATGCCTCCACTAGCGATCCAAAGGTCGATGTGTCCGATGGGTCAGCCAGGCCTTTTCACTCTAACTTCACTTCAGACTGCACATAACGAAACATCAGACTGAAGAGCAGTTTGCTGTCCGTCAACTTGAAGTGATTAGTAGTTGACAACAGGTTGAAAGCGGCGTTTCGTATCTTGGCGAGTTTGGCGGCTTTCATCAGAAGGAAGGTCAAAGGCAAAGTCGGTTTCGCGCTTTTTCGGCTTGGGTTTGAATTTTTCATTCTTTCGGCGAGTCGCATCTCTGCCCAACACGCTTTCAACTCAAGTGTAACTATCGCCATTTATCTTATTTTATTCAGCTGAATGATACCCATTTTCACTCTACACACAGGAGACCTTGCAGCGTTCAGTCATTTGACCCTTCCCCTCACGAACCCGTGCGTCCGTTTTCATTACTACTCACTCACCCACCCCGCTCGACCATGCGTCATCAGTGACGGGACATAGCGAGGAACAACGTTACAGTCTTAACAGGCAGGCAGGCAGGCAGGCAGCCAAGCGCTACAGAGTATGGATGAACAAAGGCTGCGAAAGTTTCCCAACGGACAGAGATGTACCGAATGCCGTGCGCGAAAGTACTACTCGGAGAATGGACGAAGATATTGTCAGCGCGGTCATGAAGTTGAGGTACGATCAACCACTTCAAAACAGTCAAATGCAATTGAGTCCAATATCCATCCAGGCGCTGATCACATAATATCTCCAGGGGTACATCCAATTTGACGTCGACGAAGACGACAACTATGGCAAAACCGGCAAGGTAGTGCGCAAAGAAAAGGAAGTCCGCGAAACCGAGCGCAAGCATCTCTCGGGCAACGACGCCAAGGAACTCTACCTCGACTGCCTGCAGATCATCTTGCGCAAACAAATCCTCTGGCTGATCCGCGAAAAAGGGTTCTCGGACGAGCTCGAGTCTATCTGCCGCGATCTCTGGGACCTACGCATCCGCAAGTTCATTGGTCTCAAAAGCGTTTCTAGAGTATCATCACTCCAGGCGAAAGGAAAGGGGGTTGACCACGATGGAACGGGGTCGCAACATGGCGGTGGTGATGGTGCGCTCTCTCAGTCGGGTTCCGATAGCGAGATGGTCATGTACAGCTCGCAGGCGGAAACGACGGACACGTCGGCTGATGAGAGTCTGAAGAGCCAGAGGAGGAGGTCAAGCAGGGTGAAGGATTGGGAGAGCGAGCTGTGGGATCTACCTGGCCCGATGGAAGTGCTGGCGCTGATTTATATGGGGTGTCTGCTCAAGCAGGAGCCGGTGAGGGTAGGGGATATTTATCGGTGGGCGAAGAACAACCAGTTGCCGTTTCTTGGTGCGGTAAGTTGGTGTGTAGTTTTGGCCTCACAAGAAGGTTCGCTTACTGACATTCTTCTTGCTATTCAGCTTGAACTGGTGCCGAACGAACTACGGGAACGTTTGCCTGGTTGGGCTCAGCGCACACTATTAACACGATGGGCAAAATTTGACGGAAGTGAGCTTCACAAGTCGTTGTTGACCTTGACCTTAGGTTTTAAGAAGAACTATGGCATGGTATCACCACCACTTCCAGCACCGTCACTCCTCGTCTTATACCTCAAAGACCTGGCTCTACCACGTAAGTTGTGCCCAGTCGCCACTCTTCCTTTCAAGGTACACACTCTAATCATCATCATACAGCCGAGGTCCACCTCCACGCCCGACAAATCTGCCTCATGCTCAACCTCTCCTGGACCTTCCCAACGCGCCAAAACATTAAAGACGACGCGTCCTCCTTCACCGGCAAAACCTCTCGCTACACCCTCCTCGACATCCCGGACGTGCTACTAGTCGCCTCTCTTGTGCTCGCTACCAAATACATGTACCCCATGGATGGCGTCAAGCGATATCCACGAGACAGCAACGACCCATTAACACTGAAGATGGACTGGGATGCTTGGGAGGCTGAGTTCGCGGATCCGCCAGAGAAGCCGCTGAGGAGGCTCGACTTTGCAGCCATGGATGCGGAAAAGGTTTGGACTTTGAGTAAGGAGCAGATGGTGGAGTATTTGGATTGGTATCAGGAGACGCAGTTGAAATCATGGAGCGCTGCTGGTATGTCTTTTTTTTTCTTCTTCTTCTTCTTCTTCTTCTTCTTCTTCTTCTTCTTCCAGGATGTCCGCCAGAATGCAAATGATTCACTGACACTTGAAAACAGACGAAACCGAAATTGAACGTCTCTTCCCTCTCGAGAACGTACTGCGATTACCGGAACCCGGCAGTAAAGACATGACTGATGAGCAGCTCATTGCTCGGATGCATCGAGTGCAAAAGTCGATGACGCTGGTTGAACCGAGACCTGAGACTAATGATGGGAAGAATATCAAGAGGCTGGGTGCGCTTCATCAGCGGTTTAGGTCGGTCGAGCAACTTGGGGGATCTGGACCTGCAAGAAGGTTCCATGAGAAAGCAGCGGAGATCTCGGGGCTGTCACTGAAGGCTTTGGTGAAGGCGGTTTACAGTCTGGAGGAGCTGTTGTATGGTTGGGAGAAGAGGGAGAAGAGGAAGATGAGGTTGGGGGAGGTATGACTTGCTTTGCATACTTGCCTGGGCAGGTTCTCGGGATTAGATCATTACGAGACTGGGACTGGGACATAAGATATCCATATTGAGCATTAGAAGAGCACAAATCCGGTGAGGTTGAGGATGATTATCGCCGTGAAGGCCGGTCATGTTGAAGATGTAGGCACAGTGCAGATACGTACCTCATAAACACTGTGATATGTGCACGCACCACTTTGCCCAGACAGCCACAAGTACACTAGCGGCCGTTTCCATAACCCCACCATCATAGCTTCGTCCTGTTGCTGTTCCCCGACGGGCATCATCACATCACTCCTTCACCAGTCACCACTGCACCACCAACTGACTTCACCTAGGAATAACTGGTCAAGAGTAAGTTCCGATATGCTGCTTTATAGACCAAACCCTTAATTTGTCGAGATGCTAATCTGACCTGAACCGTAGTGCAAATGTGAGTTTTACGACGTTCCGCAGCACGAAGCAATCAAGCGGAGTCGAGTCAGGTCACTAACAAACGGGACGTTGTACCCCTGGTGTATAGCTTCGTCAAGACCCTCACGGGCAAGACCATCACGCTCGAGGTCGAGTCCTCGGACACGATTGACAATGTCAAGCAGAAGATTCAGGACAAGGAGGGCATCCCGCCCGATCAGCAGCGCCTGATTTTCGCTGGCAAGCAGCTCGAGGATGGCCGTACCCTCTCCGACTACAACATCCAGAAGGTCAGTAGACTGGTGGCCCCACACTGCGCTTATGACGTACATGTTATAGGCGTTAGGGAGAACAACTGTTGTGGTCAACTTCCATTGTCGCGATGGTGATGAGAACAAAAATGGCATTCAATTGCTTGGTGTCATGGTCGATTAGCTAACGAGGCTTTCTGCTATAGGAGTCGACCCTCCACTTGGTCCTCCGTCTGCGCGGTGGTATCATCGAGCCCTCGCTCAAGGCGCTTGCCTCCAAATTCAACTGCGACAAGATGATTTGCCGCAAGTGCTACGTACGTATACACTATATCATCTGTCCGCCTTCTTAAATGTTAAATCAAGGCCTAACTTCTTTCCAGGCTCGTCTGCCTCCCCGTGCCACCAATTGCCGTAAGCGCAAGTGCGGACACACCAACCAGCTCCGCCCCAAGAAGAAGCTCAAATAGACGGCTCCATCTTACGTACCAGCATCAGGATTTGGCGCATTTGGGCTTTTGGGGGCAACGGGTATGGTTATGGCAACGGCATAAGGACAACAGGACAGGGAAACACGGGACCTGGGGATGGATGGCTACAATCTATAACGAGATCGTCAAGTCGAGGACTCCTAGGTAGCTCATGAATGAACTCAGACATTGCCCGTGGGGATACATAAAAGGGCATTGAAGCTCTCTTTGAAGAAAAACCACTGATCTTGCAGAAGAGTCTCGTCTTGATCGCGAATGTAGCTCGGAACAGCTCAACTACCTTGATGGCCACTTTAGACCCACGTGACATATTGCGGGGAGTTACTGCAGGGACCGGGAAACCGTTAGGGGGGGTGCACTGCTGCAGTTTCAGGACCCCAACAGGGGGCGTGCGCGCAATTGTACAGCGGTACGTACCTCTCTACCTACCCTTTGGTGTACGCGGCTCACGTTGAAACAGCTGTCCACCACCAGCTTCCCGAGGGACCAGACCAGCTCTGGAGGAGCTTACCTCTACCTACCGAATGACCGACTTACACCAAGCACAAACTAACCGTACCTCTACCATTTGACTTCGAGTCGATTCACAGCTATCAGCGTGTCTCCAAGCTCCAACCAGCTTACCATCCAGGGACTCGTCATCACAATCCACATTCGACCAGCAGACAGCAAACAACCGCCACGATGTCCAGATCCGGCTACGATGCAGTCGTAGACGTCGACGACGAGGTTAGTTCGCCCTCTCCTCCCCTCCCATCCGCTCCCATGGTAGTCATCTATTACATACCCAACTAACCTCCCTTTTTTTCTCCTTCTCTCCAGGGCGACCTAGGCCACACCGACCTCCAAGAAGATCTTGAATTCCACCAATCCAACTTTTCCGAATCCTCCCCCCTCGGGCGCAACGGCACCAAATCCACCCAACACACCACCACTTCCACTTCCTCCGGCGGCGGGTTACTTCCCGCTCCCGTAACCGCCGCCCGCACCTCCAACAACTCCAGCTCAGGAAGTAGCAAGCGCTTCCTCTGGACGCTCTCCTTCTACGCGCAGTTCTTTGACGTGGACACGTCCAGCGTGCTGCAGCGGTGCTGGGCCGCGCTCTACCCGCGAGCCAACTTTTTGGATGTGTTGGAAGGAAACCCGGACCTGTACGGGCCGTTTTGGATCGCGACGACGGTGGTGCTGATTTTGTTTTTGGGCGGGACGATTAGTGATTATTTGGCGCAGACGGGGAAGGAGGTGTTTGCTTATGATTTTCGGTTGTTGAGCGGTAAGTTTTTTCCCTTTGGGTGAATGGGTGATTGATTTTAGTAAGAATGGGGGCTGATATGTGATAAAAAAAATTAAAAAAAACAGGCGCCGCTGGTCTCATCTACGGCTACACCTTTGTCCTGCCGGTCGCTTTGTATCTCGCCCTGCGGTACTTTGGTTCGGAGTCCGCCAACCTGCTCGAGTGCTGGGCTTTATACGGCTATTCCAACCTCATCTGGATCCCTGTGGCGTTGATCAGTTGGTCGCCGATTACCATCCTCAACTGGGTGTTTGTGGGCGTGGGGTTCGGCGTGTCGGTGGCCTTTTTGCTCAGGAACCTGTATCCGGTGCTCAGCGCGACGGATCGCCAGACGAGCAAGGTGTTGCTGTTTGTTGTGGTGGCGCTGCACTTTGGTTTGGCCCTGGCCATCAAGGTGCTCTTCTTTGCGCATGGAAGCCCGGCGTTGAAGGATGGTCCGAAGGGAGCTGCCCCGGGTGGTGGGGATGCGAAGCCTGCTGATCCGGCTACGATGATGATGATGATGTTCTAGGGGTAGAGGGCTAGGATATGAGGGAGACAGGTATAATAGGAAGAGAGGTACGTTTGGAGCTGTGTGGCTTTGTATCTGATATTTGATGTTCTACTATCTTCATCCATCAACAAAAAGGTTATTGGGGAGGCGTTTGCCGCAATTGGTTTCTGGGATTGATAAGTTCAAGTTCAATCGGATTTTCAATTCGACCTATGACTTCTGCTGAATTGAATTGCGCTGGCAGTTTGTTTCGCCCATCTGCTGCCCTCCTCTTTCTATCCCGGGTATAACAGGTACAATGCGTTCCATCCATCCAGTTCCCAGGTGGTAGAGGTAGACATAAGAAACGCCTCCTCTTAACTACTTCCCTTCTTTTCCGTTTTCCTAACCATGCCCTTATGCGTACCCATCATCCTTTTTATCCCATCCCTCGTGCCCCACCCCTCGTGCCGGGGAGGGAGGGACCCCTTTCATTGTCCATACTCGCTATCGATACTTTTAACGATCTGACCCGACCATAATCAGGCCAAACCGCTTTCCGCTTCCCGTGCCGCTGCTCATCTCGAAATCATCTCAGGTCTTCCTAGTACTACCACCCACAAAACCCCACATTGAAAAAGAATCAGTGCCCCATCCTCATTGATGAACCAAGTAGGAATAGCCCTTGTTGTCTGGTGTTGGTCATGGGACTACTACTCACGGACTTGCTGTTGCTCTTGCTCTTGCTTTTGCTGCTGTCTGAAGACGGTGAAGAAGATCCAAAAGTGGAGTGGAATTTGTCCTTGAGGAGGCTAGTTCGGCTGGAGAAACTGGATGTTGAGGTGGTGGATTCGGCGTAATCTCTTTTAGGAGAGGATTGGGAGGAAGACTTGGGGGCGAGAGGTGAAGATTGTTGTTGTTGGAGGGCGCGAGTGCCTTGGACGATTTGGAGGGCGTGAGAGCGGGAGGTGGGGTGGGAGGGGAAGTTGAAGTTTGTTGAGGCGGACATGATTATGTTTTTTTGGTGTCTTTGGTGTTGTTGGTCCTTGGGTGGTGATGATGATGATGGTTGGTCGAAGAGTCTTGATGAGGATGTCTTTAGATGGTGTTGGTGGTGTTCAAGTGTCCGTGTAAGTGAAGCTTCAAGTTGGTTGGTTGGTGGTGTGGGTGGTTCTTGTGTTCTCGAGGAAGGTATCTAGGTAGTACTTGAGATCTGAAGTCTGAAGCTGTTGATGATAATGATGAACGAAACACAACATCCTGAAAAGCGAGGCCATCTACTCCTCTTATACATCTTTGATAACTCTGCTTTCTTCCTCCTCCTCCTCATCTCCCCCTACCCATCTGAACCACAACAATAGGTACCTACACTAATTTCGGTGAGGTGAGAAGGGTAAGGCGGAGTTCCTTGAACAAAGCAAAGCCACTCCGCCTTTCTTCCCCATCTACCATCAGTATCAAGGTATCTCAGTATCCATCCATTCCTTGATGTAAGTGCTTACCAGGTGTGCGTACACACATACGTGTACCTCCTACCCTCATCTCCACAGTAACCAAAGAAAAAAAATAAATAAAGGGCATAACGCATTCCTTGTCCCTACATACAACCACGACAACTACCATACTTGCGACAACAACAGATTGAATAGTAAGAACTCACCACCCATGCTCCTGCATAAACCACGTGGGAAACCCTGTCAACTCAGCCCAACCATTACTACTGAACAGCAAAAAAGCAAAGCAAAGCAAAGCAAAGCAAAGCCATCATGAGTCACAGCACCGAAACCAAAAAAATTTTAGAGTCTTTGTCAATGGCTGATGCATATTGAAAATGGCAGCCAAATGCTCAGCGTAACTCAGTAACGTCTATTACATACTATCAAAGTAAGGCTAACTAGTCTAGTTGTGTGTGGCTGCGCCATCCATATCATGGTTCACTATGATTCATCTTGTGCAGTTGGGGGAACTTTCGAAAAGTTACATTATCGAAACGCCACGAAAGGAAAAAAAAAAAAAAAAAAAAAAAAAAAAAAAAGTTGTCGTCACACAAAGGCACAAAAAGTAGCCGCGTGTAAAGGTTGGAAAAAGAAACTGAATGGTCGGCAGTGGATTGCCGAACGAACAGCTTAGTGCTGACAGCGGCAGGTAGGTAAGAAGGCTACGTTGATGGATTACGTTCGTTTACGCAGTAAGAGTTCGTTGTCAGTTAAGTCAAGCAACGTTAGTAAGTAGGCTACCAGAATTTTCGGCTGTATTGAGAAGCACTGCCGTCGTCATACCGCTTTTTCTCATATTTTTTACGGCTCTGGGATGTTGGAACGGGGAGTTTTGTATGTTGTTTGGGTCGTTCGACGTACGCGGCCAACCGTGATAAGCAGCGGGGCGGGGATATACACAAGGGTCGAAAAGCTTACACGTCTAGTTACCCGTCCATTGAAAATCTTATTGATACGTACGTACGTTGGTCACAACGCTCGGGGTGAAGGTCCACGCATGATGATGATGATGGTGGTGATGTACGTAGTGTACTTCAGCCTTGGTTTTCACATGTTTGTAATTTCAGGGCTGACATTGTGGGTGTAAAAGGTATGAATGATGATGGTTCTGGGAATAGAGGTTACGAATCCCGGCGTCCATAAGAGGAGAAATGAGACTATTCCCAACTGGGATTCAACAGAGAGTCTTCTAACCAATGGGCTCTCTTGCCGTTGTGACACACACACCGAAAGCAAAAAAGTTCTTTTCGGGCTACGTATCCGCTGTCAGTTCCTACCTGTCACTTGTGGCATCATAGCGTACGTAGGCTCCAAAGTTTGTTCGTGGCTTTCTGTCAGTGACTATTGTAGCTTACGCCATCTACGAGTGTAACGTGAACGGTTCGTTCGTGAGGTTCATGAACCGTCCTGCGTGGACCTTGCATAGAGGCTTTTGTGAAGAGCTCAGCCAGAAGAGTCACAGAACGCGCCGCTTCACGTTTTGGATTGGGAAAGAAGCTTGCGGCGGTGATGCGATTGGGTGCCATTCCTGATGGAGGTGGTGATGGTTGGACTCAGACTTATGCGGTGGTGTATCATGCTCCAAGCCACACAACGACGCCGGTGTGGACGACGGATGAGTCAACGGACAATGAGCTACAGTACATGCAAGTCAGATTCGATCGAGCTGGCCGAAAAGGGATGGCTCCCCTATTGTTTCTGGAATTGGATTCGTCTGATGTCGTCCTCTTTACCGGGCTCATGACAATGTTTTTCAAAGGTCTTTGACCCCCACTCCGCTTCCAAGTCGACTTCGTGCTCATCGACAACAAAACCACAGCTCATCACCATAGGTTCAAGGATATGTTTTCGCATCCCATGAAGATGGTGAGACAGTGTTGGTCATTGACCGCTTTCTTCTTACTGAGTTGTCTAGGAAGGATCTCGGGATCTCCAGAGCGACGTTTACACTACACCTCTCGGACGACGAACCCTGACGGCAGTGGACCTCGCTAGAAGCCTTCTAGAATACCAAGCAACCTGGTGAAGGGGTCAGGGGCAGAGCGGCCGTACTTGCGGCACTGAAGACGGCACTTCGCGACGCGACGCGACGAGTAGTTTGACCGACTTTGCCATTGTCGACAGCATCATTGTGAAAGGCGATTCTGTAATCTCGGCGAGGGACCGGACCGAAAGCTTGGTGGAGGACCCCAACGTAGTGTATGTAGTGTATGATGCTGGAGCCAATGCCTCTGGAGATCACTCCAGCTTCCACCGTTGTGGATGAGTTGACCCCTGAGATGGGGACTGCCTGATGCAGGTCAACAAGAGCTTCCATTGTCGTACGAAGCTCGAACCAGCCCTTCGGCTCGGAATGACAAGCAGATCAGTACGGTACACATGACATATGAAAGATCTGGACCACAAATCATCGTCATTCAACAAGTCAGAAATTCCCACCATTCGACGAAGCCATTGATTGGCTTACAGAGACGGGCGGGAGAATGCGAATACGAATGGAGCACGGACCTCAGCCAGGGGTACCTTGGTGCCGAAGCGAGCACTGGACAAGCTGGGCTAAGCCTGATAGGGCACAGATGTGCCATTGGATGGAGGTGACCTTGGTAGGCACTATCAGATGCCATCAGTTTACACGCCTTTCAAATCAATGATCAGTGTAGTAGAAATCCCGAATATGAGCAATCACCATTGTATCCAGACATCGTACACCACTCGTCCAAATGTTTGCTGTGTAGAGGTGAAATGACAAGGACTTGGTTTTGCCCGCCCAACACAGCTCGGTATTGGGAGCTACACTAACAACAGACGGCTGTTGGCGAGCTTCCTCTTTGCGACAAAGTCTGTCCCGAGGCCGAAAGCAAAGCTGTAGATCCGACTAGCAGTGTCTCACACAATGTGGACTCTGGAGGTCGGTTGTTGCACTTGTTGAACCCTGCCCGAATAAATCAAAGGGAAGCGGCTCTTTGGTCCGTGGATTCGTAGTGTACATGCCTGGGCCCCGGCCCCTGTGTGGTGGTGGTGGTGCGGAGTGGGGTGGTTCAGGTGGTTCCTGGTGTGGTTTTGCCAGCAAATGGCACATTGATCGGGAGTTCGTGCCTGCCCGTCTAATCTCCTCCACTTCCATCTCTTCCCTCCACCCACCCACCCGCTCCTCAAAATGGCCCAAGCTGGTCGAAGCTGGGCGCCGCTGCCGGGGTAAAATGGCATGCTACTGGTCAATTGGCCCCCCAGCTTGCAACACTCAATCCAAACAACCGCAAGACCCGACGGGAGCAATGTCGAGCTCGCCGGCGCCATAGAATAGGAATGCCCAAAATCTCTTTTCCGGTACCTAGCTCGTCCCACGGCACCCGACGCCAAGGGGTCACTTCACAACTTAACTAATCCTTGCCATCACCCGCCTATCGCCCTGTTGGACGGGCATTCGTTGTTATCCGCTGTCCGGGTCCCCTTTTTTTTTTCGCCCGGTGTCTTTTCTGTAGTTACGTTATATTAGATATTGCGCCTTCCTTGTACCACCTCCCAGGGGAAAACCGCCCTTTTTTTCTTCTGCTTTCCCATCCTCATCCTCCACCTCCACCCTTCCTAACCCCCCATCTCGCTTCACACCGAGCTTCTCGTCGCTAAAGGCCTTATCGGTGTAGGTGAACTCTTGGGCACCCCCGTCCGAAACCCTACAGTCTGCCGGTAAACCTCGACCGCAACGCGCAACATGGCTTCCAACGCAACCAGCTTTACCTCGCCGCTGGCCAGCGCCAAGCTCGGCACCGTTGCTGTTCCTCCCCAGCTCGAATACGTTATCGACACCATTTCCCAGGCGAGCGGCTGGACTATTGTCTTTACTCTTCTTGCTGTTCTTGTTGCTTGGGATCAGAGTATGTTCCAGTTCCGCTGGGCGCAAAATGTCAAACGATTAGAGATACTGACCAGTCTTGCTGCGCGCAGTCAAGTACGTCCTCAACAAGGGCACAATCGCTGGTCCATCATGGAAGATTCCCTTCATCGGACCCTTCTTGGAGTCCCTTGACCCCAAGTTCGAGGAATACTATGCCAAGTGGTTGAGCGGTCCTCTCAGCTGCGTTTCCGTTTTCCACAAGTAAGTCGAACCCCCGCGTATGACTTGCGCCGAGAAATCCTGGTCGGAAAACTAACGACACGAATTGCAGGTTTGTCGTGATTGCCTCGACTCGCGATATGGCCCGTAAGGTCTTCAACAGCCCCAGCTATGTCAAGCCCTGCGTCGTCGATGTCGCCCACAAGCTCCTCGGCGCCGATAACTGGGTCTTCCTCGATGGCCCCGCCCACGTTGAGTTCCGCAAGGGTCTCAACGGCCTCTTCACTCGCAGGGCTCTCGAGATCTACCTTCCCGGACAGGAGGAGGTGTACAACCGCTACTTCAAGTCCTTCCTAGAGATCACCAAGAACGCCGGTGGAAAGCCCGTCCCCTGGATGCCCCACTTCCGTGAGGTCATTACTGCTGTCTCTTGCCGTTCCTTCGTCGGTCACTACATTTCCGATGAGGCTGTCAAGAAGATTGCCGACGACTACTACCTGATTACCGCCGCTCTCGAGCTTGTTAACTTCCCCATCATCATTCCCTACACCAAGACGTGGTATGGCAAGAAGGCGGCTGATATGGTCCTTGCTGAGTTTGCCAAGTGTGCTGCGAAGAGCAAGGTCCGCATGGCTGCTGGAGGCGAGGCCACCTGCATCATGGATGCCTGGATCAAGCAGATGATTGACTCCAAGAAGTGGCGCGAGGCCGTTGCCAGCGGTAACACCGAGGGTCTTGAGAAGCCTACTCACCTGCTCCGCGACTTCACCGACTATGAGATCTCGCAGACCATCTTCACCTTCCTCTTCGCTTCCCAGGATGCCACCAGCTCCGCCGCTACTTGGCTCTTCCAGATCATGGCTCAGCGCCCTGATGTGCTCGACCGTGTCCGTGAGGAGAACCTCAAGGTTCGCAACGGTGATATCCACGCCCCCATCAACATGGAGCAGCTCGAGTCCATGACCTATACCCGTGCCGTTGTTCGTGAGCTCCTCCGTTACCGCCCTCCTGTGCTCATGGTCCCCTACCTGGTCAAGAAGGCTTTCCCCATCACTGAGGATTACACCATCCCCAAGGGCTCCATGGTGGTTCCCACCACCTACATGGCTCTCCGCGACCCCGAAGTTTACCCCAACCCCGACTACTTTGACCCCGAACGTTACTACTCGGGTGATGCCGAGGCCAAGGGTGCCAAGAACTATCTCGTTTTCGGCGTCGGTCCTCACTACTGCCTCGGTCAGCATTATGCTCAGCTCAACCTTGCCCTCTTCGTCGGCAAGGCTTCTCTTCTCCTCGATTGGAAGCATCACCCCACTCCTCTGTCCGAGGAGATTAAGGTGTTTGCCACCATCTTCCCCAAGGTGAGTCTTGACTGTTCCTTCTGTTTTGTTTGTAGAGACTTTTTCAGCTAACGTTATATAGGATGACTGCCCCCTCACTTTCGAGGAGCGCAAATGGTAGACGGAGAGGGTTTTGGGTGCGGACATCAATATAAAAAAAGAGATCTTTCTTTGATCTGGGAGATCAGCGGAATGAAAAAGCATATAATATCGCGGGTTTTGGTCAACTTTTAAAGGGCCACGGAAGAACTTGACGAAACAGACACATGATGAACCGAAGTTCAGTCATCCCTCCCGATTACCCCCCGACTATACATTATACCCCCGCCGGAGAGAGAGCGTTGCATTCTGGATGACGAAGATTTCACGAGGCGCGAAAAAGGCTGTTGTTTGGAATGGCAGGCCGGCGCGAAAAAGGGGAAAGGATGACATGGACCCTTATGATGGATAATGATGGTTTTCTAGGGCGTCGCTGGCCCTGACTGACAAATGTCGGCAGAAGGGGCTCCTGGAAAAGAGAAACTTGGCCGGGCGTGCTTCGATACCAACAACAAAGATATAGTTAATATAATACCATAAGAAGTGAATTAGGCGCCAGTGACAGTGAAAGGCAAGGAATCGGCGTGGTGATATACATTAGAGAAGTTGAGCCTCATCCAGCCAAGCCAGCCTGAGATCCCCAAAGGATCCTTAATGGATGCTGGCGGGAGGCACAGCACAAGCTGATATGTCATGAGATGTCTTTTTGTACACCCACTCATCATCGCACACCGGCTGGTTGCTGCATTCAGTTGGCATCTGACACTTTGTGACAACCAGTTGTCAGTTGTTGTTGTTCTGTTTCGTTTCGAGTTTCCACGAGAGTTTCGACTCCACCATCAAAATAATAGAGTGGGGTACCGTGTATTCACATGAATTCGGGCCCCACTATCTTAACGTCACCTCCATCCCCGCGGCGTAGGTAGCGTACCTTACCTACCTCGAGCTGAAGTACCTTTACCCCGGGCGGCCCGCCCGCCCACACCTCCGCAGTTCGGCGCCCGCTGGAGCATTACATATCGCATGCCCGTCAGCCCGTTACATAACACACTGCCGCTGCCGGCAAATTGACTGACTGACCTGACTGAGTGAGATTGTGATAATTACTGACTTATACCTTTCCACTTTGGACCGCCACGACATCTTTTCTTTCTCTCTCTCTCTCTCTCTCCGTTACTAGACCATCACCACCACCACCGACATCATAAACACAATGCTGTCCGCCCCAACAAGACGTTCCATCGCCCGCCTCTCTGCCGGCGCGGCGAAGTCTATCGGCTCTACCGGTACCACTTCCGTTGCCGGTAGTGTTACGAACGCGACCTTGGGCAAGGCTGCTGCTGCTACCAAAGGACAACAACAAGTGATCCCGACGAAAAGAGCTTTCTCGACCGCTGTGCGCCCAAATAATACATCAACAGCAACAAGGGCGGCTAGGGCGGCGTATTACTCGCAGGAGGCGCAGGGAAAGGGACAGAAGGCGGGAGAGAATAAGATTTGGGCTTTTGAGGAGGTGGGTTTTTTTTTTCCCCCCCTTGTGATATTTTCTTTTGGGAGAGCTTTGGGAGGGGGAGTCTTGAACGAAACTCTTGGGAGCAAAAAAATGAGGAAAAGAAGAACAAAGGAAAAAAAAGGATGATCCTTTGGGGATGGGGGACGGGAGTCTGATAATGATTGGAAAATCCCCCGAGATGGAATGTGTCTGAGGCAAAAGCTACGGAAGACATCGATTCGATGGAAGAAGAACGAAAAGAATGAAAGAATGAGCACAGGACTGTACAGGATGGGACTGGGATATCTAAAGAAAAAGACAATGGCTAATCGGGACACACAACCAGATCCAAACCTTGATCGAAGATCCTAACCGAAACGTTATTATCATCGGTACGTCTTTCTTCAGTTCCGTTCCCTTTACCTACACTCATTACACGTTACATCACCTACTTGCACCATGACCACTCCAAACCCCCATCCCATCCCCTCTTCCCTTTGAACCTCCTCTTCACTTCCCCCCTTCCTCTCTTTTCCCAATATTTCCACATTCAACCCCCCCCCCCCCCCCCCCCTTCCTTCTCCCTTCCCTTCCCACCTCCCCCTTCTTCACCACCTCCTCACCACCTCTCCTCCCTCTCTTTTTTTCCACCATACCCCAACTAACTGAGAAAAAAAAAAAAAGACACCCGCGAACCAGGTGAACTTCACCAAACAGGCCGCATCCCCACAGCCATCAACATCCCCATCACCACCTCCCCGGACTCCTTTTTTATTTCCGAAGACGAATTCGAAGACCGCTTTGGGTTTCCCCGTCCGTCCAAGGACAGCGAAGTCGTTTTTTACTGCAAGGCTGGCGTACGCAGTAGAGGAGCCGCGGGACTGGCGAGAGAGGCCGGGTGGGAGAAGGTGGGTGAGTACCCTGGGAGTTGGCTGGATTGGGCGGCGAGGGGGGGCAAGGTTGAGCGTTAGGGGTGATGAGGATGAGGTGTGATTGAAGGGAGGAGGAAGGGGGAAGGAAAATGAGGGAGGAAGGGGTTATTTCCTTGAACCTGGCTTGCGTAGAGCAAGTAAAAAAAAAAATTACAAAAAAAATAAAAGGAAAAGACAATGTGGACTGAATGTGTATGGGTCTTGGTCTTGGTTAGGCCAAGTGATTATTGGACCTGGGACCTGGTACTTGGGTATAGAGTCCATGTTTGATAATCCAGCTGAACGAAACTTCCTCACATTGAAAGAAAGCAACTATGGTCGAGCGGTTACTTTTTCCTAACAGACAAAAACAAAAGGGGTATATTCATTATCATCCATACTGTCCCATGCCGTTGTGCTCCCAAACTAAAAAGTCTCATCCATCAAATCCGGATTCATCTTCACCACGCTCGGACTAAACTCCGACTCCCCTTCCGGCATCTCCCCCGCCGTCAACAGTAAATTCTCCACAATCTTCTTACTCGCCTCCCTCGCCGGCGTCTGCAACAGCTTCGACGGCGGCAACGCAAACTGGATCGTCTTGGGCGGACTCATGCCCCCAAAGGGGTCCTGCTCACTGTCGCTCTCCCAATCGATTTCCTCCAGATACCGCTTCTTGGCTTCCACCGTCCCCTTGGGGATGGGCGTCTTGCCGGCGTTTGTGTGGGCGTTGGCGTTGGCGCTAAAGACATCTTTGGTCTTGCGTCCAGCCAACGGTGTCTGGACGCTTACGCCTGGCGTTCGGGGCGCGGAGCGGGCAGCGTAGGCGGCGGCGGCGGCGCGGGTGTTACCTCGGTAGGCGGAGCGGATGGGGGACATGAATGCCGCGGAGCGTAGTTGGGGGACTTCCATCTCGAGAGAGGACATGAAGGAGTCTTGCCATGGTGGTTTTTCTTCTCTGGCTTTGCCTTTGCCCTTGGGGTCTAGGAGCGGTGGTTTCTTCTCGGTGACTTTCCATTTGATTGGGGATACGCCGCTCGCCTGGTGGCCTTTGTGTGGCGTTGCTCCGACGCGGTAATTCCTGTCTGGCATGCGGTGGAGGATGGGGTCCTTGTTGGCTGTTCCGCCGCGCTGTTGTTGTTGTTGCTCGCCAAAGGGAGTGTTTTGGGCTCGGTGGGGGGTCATGGACATGTCGGGTAGACGGGCTGTGTGTTGTTGGAAGATGAGCTCGCTGTCGTCGTCTTCCATGGTGTCGCCGCCGGAACCGGAACCGAAGCCGGGTGTTTTGTTCGCCTCGGCGGCGGCCTTGAGCTCGCGGCGCCTGAGTTGCTCGTATGGAGAGTCGAGATTGGCGAACTGTGGTCGTGAAGGTATCGATTTGGTCGCTGGTGGACGGGGAGTGCTCCCGCTGAGGTCATCGCCAGTATCGGTCAAGACGGAATCGTTTGTTGTGCGCTGCCGGCCCTGGTTTTGGCCTTGGGCATTGAATGTAGCAGACGATTCATCATCGATTGTGATGTCGTGGCTGCGACCGGCGCTCTGGGGATGAGGTGTTCCAGCTGGGGTGGTTTGATCGTGCGCGGATGTTGATTCCTCGTTGCTATTCAAGACTGTGGTTTCGTTGCCATTGGCAAGCTCTTCGTATCCCGAAAGCGAAACATTGGCCGATGCCTCGAAGAACTGTTTCCAGAACTGAGACGCCAATGGCTGTTAGTTTGATGCTCGGGTGAGGCGCTGATGAGATGTCCGTCCCACCTTGGTTGATTCCCAGACTGATTTGGAATGCTCGCCGTATTGCTCGACTAGTGGCAAGATATTCGTGGTGACAATGCGATGCGCTCTGCTAAAGTTGGAATCAATCTCTATGACAGAAGGTCAGCAATGGGCTTGTTTGTCGACTTGTGATGCTTGGTGATCGGACCTTGCAGCGTCAAAGTAATGGATTGCTCGAGCTTTTCCAGCTCCTCCGTAAGAGTTAGCGGCCTCGTATTAGATGTTCCGGGGACTGACATGATCTCGGAGTGCAATCAGCTAGGTAGTCAGTCCTGTTGTTGTTTGGTTTTGATTGTGGAGAGCCGGAAGAAGTGTGTAAATTGTAGATGGCAGTGGGCTTGGTGTGTAAGTTCCGGCGCGTCATGGGCCGTAGAGTCGCGTTGCGGGGCATTGATTGAATGATTGCCGGCCGTGGTGGGGCCGCCATCACAGAGGTCCGGGGATCTGCTGTGCAGTACAAGTATAAATACCACTGACTGTCTAATGGATTCACAAAGTATGCATAGCTTGTCTTTTTGATTCGCATTTTTAACTCAACCATTGACAAATTGCCTGTCTTTCCTCGGGTATCTAATCATGCTGGTCATGTAGTCAATAAGCCATAGCCATCCATCCTGTAGCATTTTTCTTTGCTCTTGTGGTTCCATCCCGAAAACACCAGTACGCCCCAAATGCAGTGAGAAAGACAACATCCCCTCCGTTCTAGAATGCCGACCAACCAGCTAACTCTGACCGGCACATGTCGACCTAGGAAAAAGTACCCCTGTGTGCGAGGCGCCTTTTAGCGGCGACTAGGTCTTGAACGACCACGGGCAACGGGTTTGGCCTTGGGAGCAGGACGGGCTCTTGTTCCCCTTGCTGTCTTTGCTGTGGACGCCTCGGCCTCCTCTTCGTCTGATGCTTCTTCCTCATCGCCTGATTCCTCTTCCTCGTCTGATGCTTCCTCCTCGCTTTCATCCTCATCCGGGGACTCCTCCTTGGTCTTGCGAGCCTTGCTGGCCGCCCGCTTTGCACTCCGCGCTCCTCTGGCCGACTTCCGCACCGGACTAGGGGCAGAAGTCTCGTTATCCGTGTCCTCCACAGTACTACTGCGAGTCTTGGTACCAGCTTCGGTGCGCTTGCGCTTCTTTCTTTCGTCACTTGGCTCGTTCGGGTCCCATTCCGCTGGGCTGCTAGGCGGGCTGCCCGGAGGAGCGAGCGCCGCTTGCAGCATCAAATCGCCGTAGTCGTCGCGAGGTAGCGAGAAGTCTTTGTAGCGCCGGGGCTTACCCCATTCTTCGGGAGGGTCAAGGCTGTTTTCTCGTTCGTCGATCGCATCCAGGTCGTAAAACGTCCTAAGTTTGGCCCAAATTCCGGGTATACGCGTGTGAGGATTCTTGAACGGGTCGAAGCCGTGGTTGCGGAGATGCTCGCTAATGGCTATGATTCGGAAATGCTTATGCATACCTAAACGAGAGTTTGGCATTAGCTGGCTATGTTGGAAATATACTGTGACCCTCGGGATATGTGACGTACCCGCGGGTTTCCATCGAATCACACCCTTGAACAGTGAGGCGACCTGATCATCTGTCCAAGGATCATTCGGGTCGAACTTGGGTTTCGGAGGTTGGGCAACGGGCGCTACAGGTACGGGTGTTGTTCCAGCGGCTGGGGTGTCAATGTCCATGGCATCGTCATCTCGAGGTGTGGCCGTTGACGGCGTGGCGGCGGCCGTGCTGCTGCGGCCGCCCTTTTTCTTTGGAGGCATCGTCGCAGGGTGGTAGAACTCGGGAATTTGAGCAGTGAATCTCTGGATAAGCGGCCGATATAAAAATATGCTATGCTCTGCCCAAAATTGCCAGGTCTTGGATGTTGTGGTGGTTGATGTTTGGTAGAAAGTTGAGAAGTCGAAGCTCAGAAGCTCACTTAGCTATAGGCCAATGGTTATCCAGCTTGGAAGGATGAAAGGTACTTGCTCGACAAGTACAAACCTGGTGTTGCTGCAGGGGTTAGCGTGGAAACATGCCATCTCAATGTTTACTTCAGCGGGGTTATGCCTGGAATTGGTGTCCCGTCAACTCGATGGCCGCTTGCTTGTTGGACACGCGATCGGCAGCGCGACACGACAGACGACGGGGCGACAAGGGACGATGGGATACGTCCAGCGACCCTCAAAAAAGAAAGACACAGTGAGGAGACCCTGAAAGTACAGGTCAAGAGGACCTGTCTGGAACTAGCTACCTCTGGTGGTGGTTCCTCTTCAGGTCACTTTGTCACTCCCCGGCTCAACAGGCTGGCTTCCTGCGCACATCAACAAGGTTCTCACTCATTGACTGTTTTGGTCATTATTAACCTCCAATGCTGCCAGCATCGCCCACAACAAGCACAAGGCAAAATGGCTGAGGAAAGGGACACTTCTGCGGACCTCTTCGCAATTCCCAATTTCTGGCCGTCATCGAGGTTCTTGGACCAAGACAAAGCCGCAAACCCTCTCTTTTCACCCAACTTGGAAATCTCAGGCATGTTAATGCGACTGACTGACTGGCTGTATGCCGACAAAGATGCTAACTCTAATCCAGGTTCTTCTTTCCAATTCCTTCCATTCGGAGACCAAGACAAGCCTCTGAATTCTCTCAAACGCCCGCTTCAAGACGAAGGCCAGACCAGCTTCTTCAGACTACCTCCCGTTTTGCGAGACGCTGCTCTCAGCAACGAACCACAACTCTCCGACGGTATTGCCAGCGCTGAACAGGGCAAGAAAGGCGAATCCCCAGCTGATCTAGATGACGACGACGAGGACTACTGGCTCACATTGGAAGACGTCGAACCCAAGACACCCGAGTACAAATCCTGGGAGGCATTCAATCCGACAGCCCACCATGGTCCATCTGATGTTGCCTTCATCAGCGAGGCTGGGCCTGTTGCTTTCGACGCCCTCATAACCGATATCCCGGACGATGGCACAGACCCTGTTCCCGACATCCTCGACAATGCCTTGTACTACGCCTGTCTGTTAGGGCTGGCACAGGGGAGAAGCTCTGTCCTCTTCTCATGGGATTCGGAAAAGGGCTCATTTGTGAAGACGGCACCTCACCTTAGGATCTCGGGTGTCTCTGTTCAGTCGATACAAGGCATGGATCAGTTTTGCCTTGATTGTGGAAACGCCGTCAAGGCCCTTTTGTCATTTTCTGAGTCGGCTTATTTCGAATCACCCACGCCAACAAGCGTCGCCCTAGCAAAAGTGGTAGATCAACTGGTCTTGGCTGTCCAGACCGAGGTTGCTGCCCGCAGCAAGGCTGTCCGGTCCATACTTCAGCTACAATCCGTTGTTAAGCCGGCGCACGCCATTCTGACGTATTTCCACGCGCTCAGTAAGAAGCTGGCTGAAGAAAAATCGGAAGAAGGAATGCTCTCATGCCTCTTCCGGGAAGCTCAGGCCGCCGAGTACCAAGGTGGCCTACTACCCGACGTCATCTGCGAAGTGCTACGCCTTGCCTCAAAGCCATGGATCGAGTTCGTCGAGGAGTGGATTGGTCTAAAGAACGAAGAAGGCGCCCCAATCTCCAAGACGGGTTCAGGCAAGTCCTTTGTCAAAGTGGCCGACAAGATGTGGATAGACGATCATGGCTTCGAGCTCGAGGAACCCGAGTTCTTCCTAGACGAGGACAGGATGCCTTCATTTGTGCCTCAAGACATGGCCCGCTCCATCTTCGACACTGGACGAAATCTGCGCTTCCTCAAAGAGCACCATCCAGACCACTTCCTCTCAAAACGGAATGTCGTTGCGCTTACCCAACCACCCAAACTCGAGTGGCAATTCTCCTGGGATGCCATCACAATGCTGGAAACGAGAGTCAACGAGTACAAAGCTGCCGTGACTCGCTTGGTGCAAAACGCAGCATCAGGAGATCAGTTCCCGACACGTTCATCTACCACACATGAACCCAACGAGTACAGGCTCACCTACTTCGGAAGGAGTGAGGAAGAAGTCGCCGCTGCTGTACTCGCCTCAATCAACCAGCTAGCTCAACCTCTCCACAACAGCGAGTCCGACGATGAGCTCACCACCATGCTTCACAACCGCTTGTATTCAATCGCGGACCACAACAAAGAGGAGGGCTTCAACCCACACTGGTCACTTGTCCCCTTGCTCTCTTTCGGTTCACTCGTCGACACCCAGTCCAAGCTTGTCAACGACGAATGCATGAAACTTCTCCTTGGCCCTCACAAGCTTCGAGTGCATACCAATCTCATGAGACAGTACTTCCTCCTAGGCAACGGCATGCTCTGCAGTCGGCTTTCTCACGCCCTCTTCGATCCCGACCTCGAGTCCGCCGAGCGCAAAGCTGGTGTTGCGTTCAGCGGCGGTGTCATGGGTCTTCGACTAGGCGGCCGAGACACCTGGCCACCAGCCAGCTCCGAACTCCGTCTGGCACTCATGGGCGTTCTCTCCGATTGCTACGAGCCGCCCGCCAGTGAGAAAGGCGGTGACGGACAAGAGGAAGCGGCAGGAATGGATAAATCAATGCTTTCCCGCACCTACAGCTCTGATCTACCCGGTAATCTAAGCTTCGCCGTGCGCGATCTTACCCCGGAGGAGATCAACAAGTGCATGGACCCTGACGGGCTGGAAGCCCTGGACTTTCTACGACTGTCGTACAAGGCTCCGTCCGGACTGCAAAATATCATGACCCCCGTTATTCTTCTCAAGTACGACCGCATCAACAAGCATCTACTTCGTATTCTACGTATGTTGTACGTAGTCAACCACCTCTCTCGCGACGTCCAGCTGCTTGCTCGCCGCACCCGCCTCAGCAACGCCGCCATCCGCTTCTGCGCGGAGGCGAACCACTTCGTTTCCAAGATGGCGAACTACTTCTTTGACTTGGGCATCACTACCATCTGGAACCAATTCGAGGAGTGGCTGGACTCGATAGAAGCAGAGTTCCTTGGCACGGGATCCGGGACCCAAGACGACGACAGCACCAGCGTCGGACACTCTGAAGATGGCACCTCTCGCTCCTCATCATCCAAGAACAACAAGAACAACAGAAAATCCTGCTCCCCCGACCTAGTCCGCGACAAACAATCCCACTGCCTCGACGAAATAATGTCCGCTCTCTTCTTACGAAAGCGACAGACACCCGTTCTTCAGCTTCTGGAAGAAATCTTTACTGTTATCTTGCGCTTCGCCAGACTCATGAGATCCCTCAACAACAACAAGAAACCACCACCCTTCAATAAGAAAGGAAAAAGCAAAGACGAAGCGTACGCCAACAACAACGACACACCAGAAAGTTTGTACGCCATGTTCAGAAAGAAAGTCGAGGTTTTCTTGACGGTGTGTAAAGGGTTGGGAGAGAAGGCGGCTGCTAGTAAGAATAAGGGAGGATATGGATATGGATATGGATTTGGATATGGACAAGGGAATGGGATGGGGAAGGTGGGGGAGAGTCTGGCGGAGATGGTTCCTTTGGCGTTGGATATGATGGGGTACTATGAGGGGGGAGGGAGGACGAGGTATCAGGGGTAGGTGAGGCGAGGGTTGGTGTAGGTGTGAGATTATGGTGATAACAGGTGAGGAATTGTTGGGACTATAGGGTCGGAGGGTTATAAAAGGTAATGGGTGTAGGATGGGACAAGGTGTTGAGGTGTTTGTTGAATTGTGTCGAGGTATATGGGGAATTATGAATACTATTGCTGAAAGGCATAGCGGCATGGTATGGCATGGATGGCATAGTTATATGTTTTATACATCCAGGATAGCAGCAGGACTGATACCCATTTGTTTAACGATATCTTTGTATGCCTCAGGTTTTTGATACTGGTTGGCGACTTGGATAGAAGATTTTGGAGCTGAAGAATGGGAGGCATTCGTATGACGATTCATGAGCTCTTCACGTTTGTTTGTTATGATGTTGCAAACTCCATGGGTTTGCGATACTTGGTACCACTTATTGATATAGGTTATACCGTGGTTATCTCCGAAGTTTTCCACTTCTCAACTACAGCCATACTTACCCTGACTCACATTGCTTTCTTTCAAATGTTATGTTACTACCAGCACTTCACCACGGCAGCGAGACACCCGTTTGCTAATACTACTATACTGCATCGAAATCAGTAGCAATCATAAAAACCCATGTCTCACGAATAATTCACACTTCCTGCTTCATGTTCCCGATAACTGCGATGAGGATGTTACAACACTATAGCCACTCCCGCTTTCATCATGGCAGGCGTAGACTTACATGAGCGCTGTATCGAAGGGTGCCGTCCCCCTTTTCCGGCTTGCTTTGCTTCCCTGATTTACACTTGACTCGGCTTTAGAGGCTTACAATGTTTTGTTGACTCGTCAACATGAGGATGTGATTTTCTTCCCATGTTCTTTTCTTCCTACGTTCTTTCCTTCCTATGTGAAATTCACGGCAGAGTTTTCTAACGACCATGTCCTTCCAAAGTGCTCCTTCATGCAACCACCTAGGTACTTCTAGGTAGTGTACTTGATTAAATCTCACCTCGCGATTGCTTACAGTATCTCACTGACAGTCAATTCTACTTGGTCGTAAACCTCTTTCCTCACTACCGCTTCCATCTTGCTTTCCACTTTTGGTTTCATCTGGATATGTTGATGTTCTCAAAGTCAAGACCACGGTCCGTTGATCCCTGAGCAGATGTAGATGTGGAATCTTTGTCAAAAGGTACTCGGGTAGTCGACAAGATCCCACAATGCTTACCTCCTACCGCGGGAGTATCAAATCTGGTTTCTTTGAGTTGAGTTCCTTCTTTGCCACTCCCCTTCCTTTTTCTTTTTCCTTTTTTTTTTATTTCCTACCAACCCATCGATTGTTCACAAAATCTTTCATGATCTCGATGTTCAACCGCAACGAACTTCAAGTTCATGTTTACTGTACACTGATGATACCTCTTTTTACGTCTTACACCAGTACCTATCTTTCCTCACTTTCACCACTTCCACCACTTCTTCCTAATCCAGACATCCGAGCGATGAATCAGGGCAACTTGTGATGAAGTGTCGTTACCCAGCGGGGCCATTGCTCCGGAACAAAATCCTACTTGCCCTTTTCTTTCTATACTTGCATACTTTCAAGGCTGGATAGACAACATTGCTTTTTTTTTTTTTTTTTTTCCCTCTTCGCTTACTATACAGTATACTATGTAGGTAGTACTTGTCACTTGGCACATACATGTCAATACATGTCAATACACATGTCCAATGTCACTTTACCCAATCTGTGCGGAACAATCTCCGCGGACACTGTCCACCTAGTTATAAGTTGGAATCATCACCATCATCATCATCATCTCCGGACACCTTCCGGTAGGTAGGTAGGTAGGTAGGTAGCGCTAACATGACAAAATAACCACTTTGGGGTTGTCCTCTGGACAGTCATTCATTGCTCTTTCTAGCTTCACGCAGTCCCTTCAAATTCATACCTAGGTAGATACTTAGTTCTGTCAAGTCGTAATTTGGAGACTTCCCATACAGCAATCTACATCAATGTGTAGTACTCTTCTCGATCCTACCTCTAGATCTACATCAACAAAAACATGAGCTGAGCTGAACTAACACCAAGTCTCGCTTACAGACACCTAGGTTGCTTACCTACTACATACACCAACCATTTTGAACCATCTATCTTGATCAACAACTACCTGACACAGTATCTTAATCTTGCTAGGTAGGTCGTCAAGAAGTCAAGCTAGGCACGAATGTATGTAGTGTAGTGTAGTGTATAGTGTCTAGTGTAGTGTATACCCCTTAGAAGGCAGACGCAGAAGAAGACGACGACGACGAAGAATCAAAAGAACCCCTTTTTTTTTAATCCGTCCGTCCCCTGCTGATCACTTCCACCTACCTACACACCTCGCTACTTACCTAGCTAGCTAGCTAGCTACGTAGCCACCATCACTGAATCGGCGGAAAAACGTCTTGGTAATATCTCTTCTTCTTCTTCCTCGCCGCCCTTTCCTTTTCTTGACTGCTTTCCTTCTTTCATTTTTCCCTTTCTTTCTGTCTGCCATGACATCACACACATCACGAGAGCCAGTTACAAAGATCAGTTCAACGAAGAGAATTCTGGTAGCGAGGCTAGTAGGTAGATAGACATCCACCAGTTACTGTGTCAGGTAAGGCATGGTCGGGGAAGCAGTGGGATGGCAGTGTAGTGTAGTTCTAGCGTCTTGGGGGGAAGGGGGATGTATGTCTCAAATGTAGTCTAGAGGTATGTCTCAAATGTAGGTAGTGTGTATGTCTCAAATGTAGGTAGTGTGTATGTCCCTGGCAGCAGCAAGTAATGACTGGAAGATACCTATTCTTTCTTTCTTTTCTCTCTAGCCGCCATACCTATGCATACTTAGGTAGGTTCCTCTAGTGTAGTGTAGTGTAGTGTAGTGTAGTGTAGTGTAATGTAGTGTAGTGTAGGTAGCAAAGAAGCCAAGTCAAGCCAAGCCAACCTCCTTCCAAGATAGGTCTCTTACTCGACCGGAAGTAGGTACCCGGCTGTGTGTGTGTTTCTTTTTTCTGTTTCTCTTTTTACCTGTAGGTAGACAAGTGTGTAAGTGCCTATGATAGATGAAGGCTGTAGTTTTTTTTTTTTTTTTTTTTTTTTCATCAAGTCCTGCCATACCATAGGTAGGTAGGTAGCTTACTGAGGTCGTACATACACACTCACCGTAGGATACGATACAGTAGAGTAATAGTGTAGTATACACCAGATCGTAATTCGTGCCACGCAATTGGCAGGCGCAGTTCAGAGAGGAGTCAATTCACAGAGAGAAAGAGAGAGAGAGAAAGAGAGAGTCGCAGTCACCTCAACTCAGGTCAGGCACCACCACCACCCTCCCCACCCCACCTAGGTGTGCATACATACATACAGTAATGTGCCCTGTAAATGCAAGTGGGGCGTGCAGCCGATTTCCTTGCATTTATTGGGTCCTAGCATTTATTGTTATGGGAGCAGGAGGCTTATGACTGCTAGTAACCGCCCTGATAAGGGGTTCTAATAGTTGGTGACAGCCCCGATATGGGTAACAAGGGTACTACAACCCCCTGTAAGCTACCCTCTTAGCTGCAAATTTATATGGCGGGCCGGCTGGTGGCTAGTACTTAGCAGCTAGCAGGCATACCATACTAAAATAATCCGTGCACAGAAATTCCTAGCAATTATTGGGTCTTAGCATTTATTGGGTCTAGCATTTACAGGGCACATTACTGTAGTAGGGTTGTAGTGTAGTGTAGTGTAGTGTACTAGGTATGTACAATTCATCACTTCTCAGTCGACTACCTACCTACCTACCTACCTACCTACCTACCTACTACCCTTGCTTATGCTAAGGTAGGTATGTACGGTATGCTATGCTATGCTATGCTATGCTATGCAAATCAACGGAGCTTTTCTCCTCTGTCTGTAATTTGACCAGAACGTTAAAGGCATACATACAAGTTTAGAAATAGAGATAGGAAAGATATAGGGAAAAAAAGCAAAGAGCCGATTTCCTTGTACCACGTCAACAAGGCTTACAAGTTCATACATGCATAGATAGGTTCACGGCAACAGCAAGTAAAGTGATGATGGGTGAGAGTGGCATGGCATGGCAGACAGACAGACAGACAGACATTGATGATTGCTCAGCTACTTAGCAATCCATACCGAACAAGGTAATCTTTTTGCTGACGGCGTCCTGTCTCTCCTGTCTCACCTTTGTCCGCATCACTTTTTTTTTTTTTTTTTTTTTTTTTTCCTACGAGTTAGGCTTGGTGAACTTGGGTTCACACTTGAACTCCCTTGCCGTTGGCCCAAGAAAGGCCCAAGGCGAGATTTAGTTCTGACGATATGTATGCACGCTGTATGGTACACTATTGCCGTTGCCGGTCCCGTTGCCGTGCACAGTAAAAAATAGAGAAGTTAGACAGACAGACAGACAGACCAAAAGTCGATCGTTCATTCGACCGGAAATAAAACTAACTGTCTGGCGGCTTTTCTTCCCCCTCCCCCCCCCCCTCGCCCTCGGTGACCAAAATGGTCAAATGTCGATCAAGGGGTTGAAACAATTACAGATATACTAGGTACACCTAACTGACCTGGCATGCATAAGAGCTGTGTACGGTAGCCTTTCAGCTTTTCCAAGTCATGTCGTCTTGAAACGCGCCAACCAAATCAGAGGACATGAGTCCATGGATTAATACATATAGTAAAGAAGAGCAGCAGCTAGTGTATGTAATGGCTTCGGACTTGAGTCGGAAGATCTATCTCTCTTTGTGTGTTGCTACATAGTGTGAAGTGAGCAGATCCCAACGTTCTTTTTGTTATTGAAATGTTTGCCCTTGTCTTTTTCTCTCTCTTTTTTTTCTTTTCCTTTTTTTTTTCCTTCTTTTCTTTTTTTCCCCTCAAGCGCCGTTACCGTGTAACGTAGCAACGTCGTAGCCTATAGCGTAAAAACCTTATCTCACTCCCGTAATCTGATCACAAAATACCATCTGGGTATGATTTTGACCAGCCCAGCAGCATCAACGGGCACCAACAAGCATGACTGCCCAGTCAATCATTCAGTTGACCAAAGCAATTTCTGGCCCGGGTTCTCACACCCTGAATGCCGGCACGTCAAGTCGTGTCAGTCACATGCTTGTCACACTCATCTTCTCCTGAAACCCCAGAACACTCATTGTCGTTGACCATAGGGTGATGTCGCGGGTGAATTGGGGATTTGGGTGATTTCGCGGAATTCGAAGACCCCCTCGCCGCCAAGACAGATTACCTCGAACAATTCGAACGATTCATTTCACATGGCTGACCCATGCTCCATGTCCATGTTCAAACTTGCCCTGCCTTGAGCGATTCCTTGACATGAGAAAAGACATCAATGCATTACCGTAGGCATTTTTTCTGTGCCACATTCAGGCAAGCATCAAAGTTCATGTCATACTTTCCTTCATATCTTGTCTGCTACCGACTGCAACTTATGCAAGCCCAGGAGTCAGGCCAGAGTCCAGGGTCGGAAGTCCTTTCTCTTCGTTTCTTTCCAGTTTGAATTCCCTGGCCGAGTTGTCGTCAATCCAGGATCAAGGGTCCTTCAATGCGCACCAAGCAACGCCAACAGGCCCTAGTAAGATACAGGGTCCTACTCAAGGCCTGATACTAGCCAATCTGGGAGTCTAGTGAACCAGGCTACCACTTTCGCTGGCTGGCTGACTGGCCGTCAAGGTTCGCCTTCTGGCAGCGCTTTGCTTGCCGTTCGTTTCTCTGTCGTCTCTTTGACTTTGTAGCGAGCAAAGAGCGAGGGAATAAAAAAGACGCCATGGTCATGTGGTGCAGGTTCCCCTTCCCCCTTTGGCCCCTATCTGGCCGAGTTCCATGGTTCTGGGGTCTTGGGATTTGATGCGGTGAATGATGGACGCCTTTTCGATTGTGTAAAAAGGAACGCAAAAGATTTGGCTCTTTTGGCTTTTGTCTTATGCGTTCTCCCAGTGCCTTTGAACAATTTTCTGTGGAAACATTGACGGCCATGGTAGTCGTCATTGCAGATAGTGGAGTTTTATACACCTTTTCAGTGATCTGATCTCTACCAGTCTTGACCCCTCAGCTGGCCACCCCCCTCAACTGGCCACATCCCCAGCCATAACCAGTAGTCGGATAACATTGAAAATTGGCCATTTTTGCAGCGATTTCAACCATTTGAAATGTTTATTGACTAATCCTGATGCTCATGAATGGTCTGGAGTATTGACTCAACAGCTCTCTCGATGGGTTGTAGTGATGACGACGTCGTCGTTACCGTAGCAACCCGCTGGCGCTTGGGGGCTTGCTTTGAGGCTTCACGAGCCTCGATTATACTCTCTACACGTGCAAATTTATCATTACCCCCTTCTTTAACCTTCCTTTTACCCCGTGGCTTGAGTGACTCCAGCTTGGTCTGTAAATATTGAAGCTGGTGATCTTTAGCGGCGAGCTCAGCGTTCTTATCATCAAGCGCCTTGGCTGCTTTGGTGTAAATAGTCCGGATATCACGGTCAACAGCAGCTAACTTGTTGTGAATGCTTCCCAACATATCCCTGGACTTCTGGGGAGTCTTGAAAATGTGGTTGACCTCAGATATTTCGTTTCTGGGTGGCGTTTTGGGTGGTGATGGCTGGAGAGGGAGGGCACTGTCATTGATGACAGCGTCGGGGTCGTCAAGCACAACAGATCTGTTCATTGGCCATATACCAGTCTTTTTGAACCCTGATCTGAGGTTTCTGGAGCTCACGCCTTGTCGTGATGCTTCCTGATAACACTGGAGGAACCGTTGTTTATTTACTGGTGCAGATGCTGGAAAGCTAGCGTAATCCTTTGTTGAATCTCTAAAATATAACTTGACGGCGGCAAATACGGATTTATCGAGTGGTTGAGTCTTATGAGAAGTATGGGGAGGTAAAAAGAGTAGTTGAACGTTGTGTTGAAATGCCTCAACGAGAAAATCGTCAGATAGATGACTCGAGTGCTCATCGAGAATCAAGAGACGCCAGCCATCAACCTGGGTCTCAGGAAGGTAAACCTCCTTCAACCAGCGTAAAGCAATCTCTGAATTGCTCCATCCAGTCAATGTACTATCGTATTTCCAGCTCTTGAGCTCATCGTCCATATCGTCAGGGAACCACTGTCCCTGGAGGTTGGTACCAGAAAAGATGACAACGGGAGTCAACCTCTTGCCCTCAGCGGTCCCACACTCGATAATGGATACCCAAGCGGTTGCGTCGGTCGTTGTTACGTATGCCTTCTTCGTCAGGGTAGACCCAAGCACTTTGCCATCCTTAGATTCCAACTCTTGAAGACCATGTTCATCCATATTCGATATATTGGCTGGGATAATACCCTTGTCGCGAATCTGGACTTCCAGAAGGTCGAAGAACTTCGTGAAGGCTTCCCGGGTAGACCCTCTAACTCTCGCTGACTCGAGCGGCTTCGAAAGCTTGGTCTTGATATTGGGGTTGCGCTTCAGGAATCGGTCTACCCAACGGGCGCCCAGCTTGTCATAGTCGCCTCCTCTTTTCAATATCGACGACGCGAATCCTGACACCTGACGACGGTTGGGAGCACGGCCGGCCTTCTCCTCATTCAATATCCATCTGCAGATGAAGGATTCTTGCGTTGGCGATAGCTTCTGGTGGGGGATTTTGACGTCGCGTTTGGTAGGAATGCCTTTGACACGGTTGCCGAGGGTAGACCGTGGAATCCCATACTTCTTCGCTGCTGCGCGCTGGGAAAGTCCGTCGCGAATAGCCTCAAGCGCTTCTTCAATCAAAGGCGAGCTCATTGCAGTAGAAACGAACGCGATCGGGCTTGATTTGATGCAATTGTGGTTGTTGGGAGAAGCAGGGTGGTGATGTTGCATGAGGGGAAACAGCGGTGTGGATGTGGCCAGTTGAGGGGGGTGGCCAGCTGAGGGGTCAAGACTGGTAGGTTGTTGTTGGAGTGCTTGGAAATCCACAGCCCACCAGCCTTCGGCAACTTCAACCGTTGTTCAGCCCCATTCAGCGGTTCGCCCGTGGGCTCATGGGTGTCATTAAACTCATGGGTCCAGTGGAGTTCCCGAGATCTCTGGTGCACTATCCATCGGGGCGGGCAGCCCTCCATCTCATCTTCCGAGCAACTTATGCCTACCCATCCATTAGGCATCTGGCATCTGCGATCCCATCATCCCCTTCCGTTTGGACGTGATGTGGGTGTCTGGTGCGTGCCCGCGAAAACCGATTCGCAACAGGAATTGTGGGAATGCGGGCGCTTGTAGTGTAGAGTGGGTTTGGGCCTGGTGGAGGAAGGAGAAAACGCGTGAACGGTGGGCGGTCCATGGGCGGTGGTGGTGGACAAAGTGGGAGCGAAAGCGGGTTGTGTGTGGGTGGACGAACGTGATCGATGGAAAAAACCCGGACTCTCTCCATTTTTTTTTTTTCGTGGACCCTCCCGTCGCTCGGCGGTGGGGGTGGGCAGAAGGAGTCCCAGTTTTCCCCGGTGCGCCCACCGCCCCTCCCGCGCGCCGGAACGCTCCAAAAAAGTTCCCTCTCCATCCTCACTCGCTCCCGCGAACCACTTTTTAAGCGCCCCCCCCCCCCCCCTTTTTTTTTTTTTTTTTTTTTTTTTTTTTTTTTGTTCTTCTGCTCCGGCGGCCGAGCTGCTAGATCATGTAGTGTCCCACGTAGCCGTATGGATGGATGGTGCGGTGCCTGACCTCACTTGAAGCACCTTGGTACATGTATAAGGCACACCACGTCACCAAGGGACTGGGAACTTTTGGGTCCCTTCATCTTGGAGAGCAAAAAGAGGGGTTGTGGAACACCACGGGAAGGGACGTGGGCGATGTATGGAAAGATGAGGGGGGTTCTCCAAATTCCACCCCCTGCAACGTCAACTCGCATTTGTGATACGAAGCGTTGGCGTGTTTTCTCCTCGGCGACCAAAACACTTTGATAAACGGCCAACCTCCAACCAAACTCAAAGTCGGATTCCATGCCCGAGAGGAAGCCGTGACTTTGTGCTCTTTTCTTCTCGTCTCTCGCCTGACCAAACCGTTTCCGGTTAGGGCTTCTTCTTCGGCACCTAGGGGACCTCAACAAAAACTTCCCTGTTCTGATATCGGCGGCTTGGCTTTTGTCAAGGACCAGATCAGATCTTCACCAAAATTACCACGATACGACGATGCCATTACAATACCACTGCCCCCTGGTACAGCCGCGACGAGAAAGCAAAGAGATTTTCTGGAGTTTGAGTTAGGGGGGCAGGCAGTTACATGGTTACACCAAAAGACTTCAAGAGAGATTGACAAGTGTCAGAAGAAGAATGACCATTGGCCGAAAAATCGACATGCAGCACGCAAGCCAAGCGCACAAGGCAAAGAAAAAAAAATGAAAAAAAGTATCCGACACTCACAGCGACGAATAACAGCGCTAGCCACGTTGTTGAGCTACCGTAGAGCAAACCGGAGCGAGGAGGTCGGCCTGCAACAGACCGCCAAGCGGTAGTCAAGAAGACATCGGCAGCCCGGACCAGTCGGGGCCGACCTCTGCTCACGGTCAAGTGGAGCATTTCTGGCATGGACCAGGCCGCGAAGTGAAAGGCCGATGCCGCGGCATGGAGCCATGACTCGGGGAGAAATCAACAAGGCGAGCAACCCACTCGATGATGCTCATAACGAATTATGCAAAAGGTACGTTTTGCCACAAAGAGCCAACCTCCTCCGATCCCGATGATGTTGATGCTGGCGATGATGATTGTGCTAAAGATGGGGAGGGGGGTTCGGTGATTTGAAGATGATGCGAGACCGTCAGAACATACACTGTAGGAGTCCTTGTCGAGCTTATTCGCTGTTTACAAACCCTTCCAGAAGCTGTTGCGGGCGCTGCCGCTGCCGTTGCCCCTTGCCAGTGGACAGCTGCCGTCGGCAATGGCTTCCACTTAGCAGAACAGTTGACGTACGTTGCACCCGTGTGGAATACGCTCCGATGGAGCACAAAAGCTTGACAAACTCAAGACGGCGCGAAGCAGGAGAGCTTCAGATTGTAGGCTGTGAAACTCGTGAATTCTGTGGACAGCCAACGAGGCCATTGTCCTTGCACTTCACCGTTCTTCGTTGCCAGCAACAACGCCGAGTAAATGCCGTAATAGGCCACCTCCAGCAGGCTTATCACTTGCTGCATCGGCGGAATCGGCACCTTAGGTTGGGTTGACACTCTGTACACTACGTAGTGTTGGCTCGAAAGGGGGTGTGCTTGGTGTGCATTGAGCAGGTCATTGATGACCTCGAGAATCGAGCAGAAACTCTTATTGGCCTGTGTCATCGTCACGAACACTCAACAACCAGCCAACCCATTCGGTCGGGTTCCTTTTGCTCACCTTTTGGTCAGATTGTCAGGCCATTTGTTGCAGCCAGAAGCACGGTCATGACCAAGGCGTTGCGCCCTTTTTGTTCTCTCTGACGGGCCTGCGCAAATTGCATTCAACACCAATTCCTTGGATTAGAAGGGTCCCTATCTCTGACCATGCTAGTCGGCGCTTTTAACGAATTCGACGATTCGAAATTTCAATTGCAATTGCAAAAGTTGCGGCCGTGAAATCCTCGCCCGAGTTCCCTCAAACCGAGGTTGGACAATGCGTCTGTGTTAGCGTGCAGGATCCTGGCGGCGATCATCAGCCATGATTTTAAATCGCCAAGGCGGATTTCCCTTTGAGGAATCACCGCCGAAGGTGCGCAGATCCATGGTTCGCTCGCTCGTTCATTTCTACCGCGAGATGCAAAATCAGTTTTTGGTCGCAGTCGCCGTCATTTGTTGGTGTGGAAGAAACGAAACTGACCGCCAAGGGGTGCCGGGGATGCACATACATAGTATACCTTGACTGTGCAGTGATAAATTGACAGCGCAGGGTGTTTACGAAGAAGGGCCGAGGGCTTGCTTCGAGAAGGTGTCGTTACTCGTTACGGTACTGTACCGTAGGTACTCGCAGGCTTTGGGTGTCGCGGCAACGGGGATGATCACTCCGGGCTTTCTGGTTACTGTTGGCCTGTGTAACATGCCCAAAGAGGTTGGACCACGGTGCAGACGCCCCCCCCAAGATCATCCGCGTAATGATGAGCGAAGCCAGCCCGGGTGTCGGAACATTTCATTTGATGAGAAGAGTGGGAGAACAGCCAGGGACCGCCTCACCATGACAGGTCCTCAGTTGCCAGTGGAAGACACCGACAGCTTCACCACGAAACCGCCTTGATTTTGTCGTTTAATGACGCCTAGGAAGCGGTTAAGTAAAAGGGTTGGCTAGCCATGCTGCAAAGTGAAGATCTTGGTCAAGTTAGCTTGGCCTGTAAAATTGGCTGGCCATCGGTGTGTCGGCGAGGATGGTGGATGGTTCGATGATCAGTTCTTAGGGGTCTTTTGGTCCCAGATCCAAGTGCGTGTTTCAAGAGACTGAATGGCCTTGTTCTTATGAGATGGTGTCATCGTTCTACGGGTCAGCAGAAGCCATAAAAGGATGCCCTGTAGGTATGGATGGCATAACCGTTCACCGCTGATATGTTGGGTTGCTGTCAAGAGCGGATTCCGTTCCCAGCATAGCATGGCCCGTCATTTCGGAGACGAAGACGGGAAACACTGGAGCACCTCAGGCCGCCGCTGGATTGGTTTTGACCGGGGCGCAGTCTGAGGGGCATGTTGGCCCGCTTGGCCGTCCCATCATGGAGAACATGGGTGGGGAGGGGCATTTTTGATGTAGTGATTAAACTACATACATATCAGAAAACAAAACAACAAGAAATTGAAAGACGAGGGCGGTTGGCTTGCAAACAATCATCCATCATCGATTTCGTTCGGTTCACAAGAAGAGTGTGCCGCCCATTCAGGATTTCGTTAAGCTCGGGCAAAGCTCGGACAAAGTGGTGTATGCAAAGATCACGCAACTTGTTCGTCACACTAGGTACTCCGAACTCGTCCCTTCCGCTTCCGTAGGAAATTATTTGAGGTAAGTAGAGGTAGGTACGCTGGAAAGAGGCACTGCAGCAGGTATCACATATTGTGCCGACATCATAGTAGCCGTTCTTGCCTGTTCAGTGTGTGATGCAGTGCCCTCGCTGCGATGATGGGTGAGAAGATTCATTTTCGGTCGTGCATCGGCCATTTTCTTGTTGTCAAACTGGCAGGAACAACGCCAATTTATGGAAGCGACCTCCATGACTTCCAATTGGACCGTGTTCGACCGAAGGCTTCCTGTTTCTTCCTGGACCGCTGCTCCTTTGAGAAGACGGACTGCCAATGCTGATTTTTCGTAAAGTCGGCAAGCAACGGCAGGGTGGTGTAGCCATATCGGCCGATATAGGAGTGCTCACGTTGTTGTGTGTTGAGCGCTCTTTCCCAAGGTGCATATCGACTTTCCTGGAGAGGCAAGGCCATCCGTCGTCGTTCAATGCCACTCAGCTCTCGCTTTTGGGGGTCGAATCGTCCTGGTTACATTCCATCCTCTGTGTCCAGGTGGTTGGTGTGAGTGAGTAAGGCGGAACGAGTGTTCATTACGACACAGTGTTGTATCCAAGAACGCCACCAGCCTACCTTTGTGACAGGGGACCAACAGTACAACCCGGTACTTGATGATAGAAAAGGTGTGGAAGGTCGCTGGAGGTGATTTTGAGCGAAGCGAACCGCCGACCACACCTCTCGCCTGCCGCCTTTTGGAACAAAAACGACTCCTCTCACGCAGTAATGTGGCCACACAGGACGGGAATCCGGTTTAGGATACCCTATTCTCCCCTTCCGACCGGCTGATGGGAGCGTTATTCTTTGGAACGCGTGGGAGGCTCTCGGTCGTAGTGGTAAGCATTCAAATCTAGACACCCCCACAAGGGCACGTAGTGTAGCATGTAGTGTACATAGGTAGGTAGGTACCTAGTATGATGTAGCAGGTGATTGATAAGGTAGCCGTGCATCCAGATATCTGTCGCCAAGCGACCAACAAGATGGAGATTGGGTCCTTCGCGGGGCAGATGGACAGGTGGGGAAGTATTTTCAACGACACCTCAAAAGCTCTCGACCTCCGGGTAGCTTCCGTTCGTCGAGGTCGTTGCCGACCGAGGTGTGCATCTTGCGACGCAAAGCGCCTAGGTATTTTGGTACGAGACCTACCATCGCATATGGTGATGGACTGACGCTACCTACCGCAGAGACAGTTCACCACATGTGGCCCAAACACTGTAGAAGTGCAGTCATGAGCCTGACTCGTCTCCTGGAGCGACACGGTATGCTCTTTGTAACGGCTTGTCACAAATTCCGCGGCGGGCAGGACATGGCTGTGACATTCCCTTGGCGCGCAAAAGCCTGAAGCGAGAACAGCCATGTCGGGTTCGCAAGGCAATTGAGGGTTGCCAAAAACTCAACCTGCACTTTGACGATGGATGTTGTCCATCGATTGCTTTGATATTGGTCGATACTCCAACATCCAGCTCCAGCAATCGGTTTCAATCGTTTGCGGGGGGTTTCAGCCGGCTTCTAGAAGTGGAAGATGCCCCAAGATGCCCCTCATATCTCCAATTTTTTATATGTTGCACAGAATCCGCAGGAGTGGGTTCACCATCAGGACCCTCCCAGAGCCTCACACCAACCTCTGTTCTCGGATCTGCCCTGCTGCCCAGCTCTCCACAGACACCGACACACACACACACCGTTTCGACACACTGGGAGGGGGCTTGCCGCCATCCCTAACGACGCCACTGGTGCGACTCGAGACACCAGCCGGCAGCGGCTCGCCTCGCATTCCACCACATTCCCCCTCCAACGGAAAACGATGCTGGTAAGCACGCGACAGTGCTGAAGGAGGGTCTTTGGGGGGTCCTTGGGGTACGTATTGGGGAATTGGGCCCTTCAACGGTGCCCGCCTCCAACGCGAGCGGGTTGCGGCTAACGCGTCGCCGCATCGTGAACAGTGTCGCAGCAACCAGAGATCTGACTGAGGAGATCTTGCAGTAGTAATGCAAGAAAGCCTGAAACCCAACGAGCCAAAAAAGAAACCTACCTAGGTACGCAGCAGTAGTACACTACACTATCACATAGACCAATTGGTGCACTATCGTCGACGGTGAGGTGGTGAGCGATCGGGTAAACAGTCTTCCCTCCTCAGCGCCCAAGGTAACGATCAACCGCTACGTACCTACCTAACCTATCAGGCCCCTTTTTCCTGTGCTCTCTACCGGTTACAAAATGTTCAAATTCAGTGTGCCCTGTGATGGCAGGCAAGCGACGACTTGTTGTACGTAGACTTGTCGAAAAATCTCGCGGTTATTTTGATTGAGATTACCAGAAATTACCCTGCCGTCATTCATCGTCGACAATGGAGCGATACGGGCGGTACCTCCATCACAGTGCTAGCCTTTTCGCGCCGAAACCCCTCACCGTTCGGCATTTTCTGTCAACGCAGCCATTCACGGATCAAGACACAGGCAGCAGATGACAGGGATCAAAAAAATGAGACAAGGACAGGGTTCTATCTTCAGGCTCGTTTCGTTCGACTCTTGACTCGTTGATGCTGCACATCATCCCACCAATCTGCCAGGAAAAACTTCGACCCAGCCGACAGATGCATTCTTCTCTCGACTTGCAGAACAGCATCGAGTTTGTGCTTCCCGTCGCCAAAGACAATACTGCTCTTCTTTTTTTCTTTGTACAATCCGAGCTCTCGTCATGGTTTTCGAAAACCACAGCTTCGTCGGTGACATAGCAAGAGATATCTGGGTCGAAGCTGGGGCTGATGCTAATCTCTCCAGTGTTGGCTTGACTAGGGACTAGGATTCACTGAAAACTTCCGGAGATGCCAATATGCAGCAGCGGCGTTTTAGTCGCTAGCAACTAGGACGAGCTCACTTCTCATTCCGAGTGTGTACTGCGTACTGCGTACACTACATAGTACACAGTCGGTGTAGCGTACTGAAAGGTTACCGTACACAGAATTGTTCTCATAGGCAGGCCTTCCCTCTAGGCTTACAGAGAAGCCGGAGGCCGCGAACTCCGCGTACATTACAGAGATCTCGGGGCACTTCTGTTGTACCTCGCACAAACGATGCCTCGAGCAGAGGAACTTCAGTTGCGAGTGTGGGCGAACCGGATCCTCACCGCAACTTCTGCACTCTCTATTGGTTCCCCTTGTTCAGACTTGAACTGCGCAAAGGATACTTGAAAGGTATCAAACAGTCAGTCAACAAAGACAACCACAATTGCCACTCTATCAGCGAGCTATCAATGTCGCTTCACCACTGCAACTTGGTACTGGCAATGAATGAATAGGCGAACAGGGCGTCATTGCCTTCAGGGACTTCTCGGCTGTGTCCAAGTGCGCACCAGGCTAAAATCGGCGACATCAAGTCGGCAAAGTATCTAGGGTACCTGCCAAATGCCGGCCTGGCTTCTTCGCAGGAGACCTGGTCCCTGCTGGTCCAAGACGTGATGTTGACTAAGGAGTCCGACGTCTTTTGACCAGCAAATCAAGTTTGTTCCTGCTTGTCGCTGTCTTTGCCGTCGTCGATATCTCTTGGAGGAATGGATGTCCATTGCATCGGGGATCATGCTGCGAAATCCCAACTCAACATGGATTTGCTTTGCTTTCGGGAGAGGCGCAAGCGCTACTGCGGATGGTAATGCGCGGTTTTCCTCTCATCCTCCTCTTATGTTCTGCTTCAGCGAATTGGTTGCTTCTTCGCCTGCGTAGTCTATTATAATTTTACACCCCTCTCCAGCACCGCGTTGTTTGTTCTTTGGTGTTATTACGGTAACCAACATCAACTGCCTACATTACCACTGCTAACCTTCTTCCAGTGAGGTGAGCCAGCCCAGGAGAGTTTGATGCTATATTTCTATGCGCTCCTGCTTGAAGTCCACAGATCGGCGCGAGCATGACACTAAGTTCATTACTTTTCTTTTCCCTACACGCGGGACGCTCGGTAGACGGCCTTCTAGCTCCAACTGTGTTAACTTGTTGCAGCTGGCTAGTCAACACGACAGACAACCTAGAGACTCTCAAAAACCCAGGTGATAGAGTGTTCATGGAAACATTCGGATACGAACGGCGAAAAACTTCAAGACTGGGAGATCTTCAATCTTCCAACATTGTTTTTGCCGTTTAGTCAGCTACAAATTGAGCTCGTCATAGAAGCAAATGGACACTTTCTCGCAACTCGAAAACCAAACTTGCTAGAGCAGAGCGTCACGGTATGTGTAGATCTCGGACACACTGGCAGGCCCGACCTCCTATTACCACCATTTCAGCGAATCCCTCTCTCAACTGATTGAGACTTTGTCGTTGATCATCTTCCGCACTGTTGCTTCTTTGCCCGAAAACAATCGCAGCACTTGGTTTTGGGAGTGGCAGTGATAGTGCTTCGCTTGAACACAAAAGCGCTACTGACTGTGACAGTGCGGAACAATGTCTGCAGCCATTTCCCGAGGCCAGACGGAAATAACCCGCGTTTTAGACGAGACAGTACCATCTCGAATCGAAATCGAAACAATGGGCGCCACAAGAATCCGATTTCTTAACACGACGAATACACCTCCGGCTTCCAGACCAAGATAGAACACTGTGAATCCATTACTAATTGATGGCTTTGCGTAAGCCTCGACCGCAATCGAAGGGGAGAATGTGCACCTTTTGCCGCCACGGCTGACAATCCGTCTTCATCTGGCGAGCGAGGTATCGCTACGTCGTCAAAGAATGCAGATGTCACCTCCAAGGCATAATGTAGAAGGAAGTCAGGGGCGTAATAATCACAGGTGGTAACGTCGCCAAGGACGTAATTTTCGTAACTTTACAAGGATTTAAGTAGTCGCTTGAGAGGTACCGTAAGGTATAACGCGGCGCAACAGTAACGCTAAAATAGCTTGGGTATAGAAATGTTCCTTGCAACACCCGTAATCTAACCACATTCTTACACTGTGCCTCCATGAGGTCACTTTGTCAGATTCTTTCCGCCGAGGTTCACCGTCACGGTCATGTATGCATACGAGAAACCTATAAACCAGCAGTTGTCAACTCCGTGATCTCGAACGATGATGTACAGAAGAGGCCGTAGAGAGGTGAAGGGTGAAAAGCCAAAACACAACCCAACTTGCCAGCAAATAGATCGTATCCTTTCTTCGTTATTAGCTGCTAGACTGTGGTAAACCGAGTGATCAGAATGGTGCGACTGGAATTGAGTTAAACTGAAAACACACCGCGATTCCAACTGCATCTCTAGTTGTCCAGAGGCTGACTATCAATCACCAAACCTCAACTTCCCGTTGCCGTAGGAGTAGTAACACAAGGAGGTCGAGGACGCAATACATCGTGCCCAGAGTCCTTAGTCTAAGATACCAAAAGGATGGTGGTATCTTTTTCAGACTACCTTGAACACCTTTTCTTCCCTCCAGTTTTGTATGCCCCAAGTCGTTCAACAGTAGACCAGATTGAAACAGTCTGGCAGTGGATGACATTGCATGCTATCGATTGTACGTTGAATCAGACCCGGCAATTCCCGCTTCTGCTCTGTGGGATAGAACCCTCAAAAACACACTGGTTCAAGTTACAATACACCATAAAAACACCATCTCCCAATTCACACGGCGATTGCTGTGTGTGAAGTGACTGGCACTCTGTCTCTCTCTGTCTCTGTCGTTTTTTAGGTCCGCGCATGCCCGAGACGAAGGAACCCCTGTTTTCCGTGCTCGCTCTCCGACAAGTGCCTTCAATGTCCGCTTTGTGTTCGTTTCAACCACCTGGTTTCCCCCCCTTCACATTTCTGCGCTCTGTGACTTTGATCTCTCGTCCGTCGAAGCAAGAACGAGCACCAGCAGCACTGGGCCGTTCGAGCACCTTTTGCAGCAAATTCGAGTGGCGTAAAAGATGGACAAATAGCAATGATGAAGTACCAACAGCAGCAATAGCAAGTTCACAAGATTTCATACAGCGGAAAGGTGCGGACATTCGATTCACAAGTCGCCATCTCGTAGGTAATGTAGATGCCCAGATCTTTTATTTCCTGTCACAATCAGTACTATCTGGTGGAGGGTCTGTGACAATATTCCGCTGGAATTCCTGGACCCCCACCGCAGGATACGTACCTCAGCTGCGCTATGTTTGTGATTGGATTTGACGGGCTACGCAAGACCCACCGTCTCCACTCATGCGATTCCCCCCTTCGCAGCTTCACCAGCGCACAGGCAGGGCCAAGCACATTGCTTGTACCTTGTACTTCTCAGAGTGACGCTGGCTTCCTTCCAAAATACAAAAAGGGTGACCGGCAGCGGCACCTACAAAAAGCGAAGGCTCCACTTCTGTCCTCCGCCCATTTTTTTTCTCTCCACCTACCAATCTTTTTTCCTTTTGAGCCTCAACCCAAAGTTCAGGCTTAGGGCATTCTCCACCTCTACGTGTGTGTACTCCTCCAACAAGCTCGTCGCCGGCATCGACCACGATACTGGATCACAGCTTCACCTCCCACCGCCGCACACGATTTCCCTCCCCAGCGGCCTGTCGCACCACCAAAACCAGCCTTGTAGCGTCGTCGCATTACTGTCAAGAAGGGTCCCGTCCACCTGTATTGTCAGACTTTTACCGACAACGGGCTCGAGTGCATCATCGGGCAAACAAGCGCAACGCAGGTCCTTTTTCCTTGCCTTGCTACCCAATTCTGAGCCATTGGTCTTCAGGAGCTTCTCCAGCCAACGCGCCTTCAGTTGAAGAAGATCAAGACCGGGACAAAGAGTCGCCAGAAGAATCCTATTCGCGCCCCCGTTGCCGAATGGTTTTTTCTGTGCTCGCTGCTTCAGGGTAATTTTCGAGCCGGATTATGGAAGGTTTGCCGCACTACTCGACGAATGTCATAAACACGTCGGCAGCTTCATACAACCCTTCGCCTTCAGCCATTTCTCCGCACCAGCTCCAGCAGCAACAACAACAGCAACAACAACAACAACAACAATCCACCGCGACTGCCCCCCCGCAGACACTGCCTCCTCTCCAGCCCAGCAACACGGTCATGCAGCAACCTCCCTCCTACGGCAGCTACCCTCACACCCCGAGAACTGCAACCCCCAACACGCCTGCTTCCACTAGCAACATGGCCAGCTATCCTCCCCCTCCCCCCAACGGCGCTGGCCGCGGCGCTGGCTATCCCATGATGGGCAGCAACCCGTATCCCCAGCAGTCCTACGCGACATCTTCGGCCATGATGCCCCAGTCCACCACCGCCGCCTCGCATCCCCAGCCCATTGCCCCGGCCCCGTCCCCGGCTAACGGCCGTGTACCCCCGGTGCTCCGCCCGATGCCCGCTGGTGGAGTCATGCAGCCCGGCATGAACTCTCCCTACGGCCAGAGTCCACTCATTGCCGCTCAAGCGTCAATGCTTCCCGAGGGCGACCAACCTACCCACGTGGTTGGGTCTCAGGGACGTCGCGGCATTCTTCCTAGTGCGCCTGGAAAGCCCGCCGCTCCGGCTGCCGGCAGCGCGTCTGCTAAGAACCAGATTCCCCAGAAGGATGCCGATGGCAAGTTCCCTTGCCCGCACTGCACAAAAACCTACCTCCATGCCAAGCACCTCAAGAGGCATCTTCTCCGCCGTAAGTTTCATTTCCCAAAGCTCTTTGCTCCTAGCCATTGGGTGGTCAGGATTCTGACAATTGAGCAGACACCGGCGACCGCCCCTATATGTGTGTCTTGTGCCGTGATACCTTCTCGAGAAGTGATATCTTGAAGCGCCATTTTATCAAGTGCTCCGTCCGTCGCGGCAACCCCACTGGCGCCAGCCATTTGTCGCACCCCCAGGCCCATGTCAAGAAGAACGCGCAGGCTCAACAAAAGGCTATGGGTGAGGGAGGCGATGTAAATCACATGAACGGTATGGGCAACATGACCGCTGACGGCATGGTCCACCCTTTTGGCCTCATCCCCACCTCCGATAGCATGAACAACATGGGCAACAACCAGGATCAACTGTCGAGATCCAGCAGCATCAATAGGATTGACGACGCGAATCGCGACAGGAGAAGCATGACTGGTTCCGTTATGGGCGGTACCACTCGTGGAGGCAGCTTCGATCAGACTTACAACGGTCAGGAGGTTAGCAACAACATGACTGCCAACATCAACCCCCAACTTGCCAACTACAGCATGCCCCAGCAGCAGAATGGCATGCAGATGTTTGGTGGATCGGGCGGTACCGATTGGTCCCAGATGTTCCAGAATGGTGCGCAACCCCACACCCCACCTACATATTGTGTGTTCTGAGCTAATGGTGTGGTCCAGGTCCCGAACGCAATCAAACCCGTGCTTAGGAAACGCCGGTCAAAAGCGAGGAAGCCGAGCAGGAGGAATGTTTGACGACAATCGACTCGATCCGCCCCTCGTTCCCCCCGTCGGAGTGAACTGGCTAGCCAATAGCCCCCATCAACAAAATAAACAAAACCAACAAAACCCTTTAGTAACCTGGCCAGATACCTCCGGCACCGCCATGATATCCGATCAACTAGCATTATATAGCAGTGTTTTCGGGTTCGATAATATTCGCGAGCGTTGCTCGCATCACAAACCAGTCCCCATGAATCCTCACGTTTTGCGTATTGGATGTCATACGTTGGCGTTGTAACGGCGTGTGCTGATCAGCCATGTGCTGTTCACTGTCGCCCTACAAGCCAATACTCGTCAGGTCTCGAGATCGATGGTGGGTTGGAGCCCTGATGGGTAAGGTACCCGAGGCGTGGCTTAGAGTCTTTCCGAGTGTCTCGCTGAGTCGCGGAAGACTCACGAACCTGGCCTTGCGGACCTAAGCGTGTTGTGATTGGGAGCACCTAACTGGAGTTTGAGAGGCACCGCGATCCACTATACCTGTCTGGTATATGTATAAGCCTCTGGCATGAAGAGAAGACCCAAAAAAATGAAGTGAATACCAAGCATCCCAGGACCGCCTTTTGTGTACATCGTCAATTCCATGGACTCGATTATGTGGCCAAATCATTACCTGCTTTTTCTGGATGAACTGGATCGGCCAACCCGACGACTTCGCATCATGTTTGACATTTCCGGTCCCTTGGTTCCTGGCGCTGTTCCGGCACTGACCCTCAGTTCGATGTTCCGGATTTTATTTGCCCTGGTTCACACAATACGCAACTGACAATACCGCGGTGCTTTCTCATCTTGACATAGGACTAACACTGCGGTTCCCAAACAGATGGGATTCCAATCGCTTTTACGAGGTTGTCACCAAACGTCTTTGAGACTCTACCCGTTGGAGACTGTACTGGTACGCCTGGGTGAGCAGCGAAACAGAGTCAGCAACCCTCCAAAGCCGCGAATGTGTCCAGCACGGCACGAATTCTTGGTTCGATGGACCGGTCGATGCAGCTTTTAGGTTGCTGTCCAGACTTGTTTGGGCTGACTTGGGCAACGTGGAAACCAATCAGACGACGGCATCATTTTTGATTCATCACCAAACGGTTTCCCATTTTCCAAACAGGGCCTCAACGACCGACGCAAAAAGCTAGTCGATCGATACATGACATTCAAGATTATGGTGGCGGTTACGGCCAATGGAGGATCCGGCCACGACAGGTGTACCTTTTTACGAGAGGTTTCAGCGATTGGTCAGCAACATCACCCGAGACATCCCGCGGAACATCGGGTACTGGGTACAATGCAACTCTTCAGACAAGCGACAAGCTTACGAGGAAGGCGAGTTGAGCCGTCAGATATTACCCAACTTTAGGTCTGCTTCGATCATGCGGTCGGTTACAAAGGAAGGGGAAAAAAAAAAAAAGAACAGATGGGGGATGGCAAGTAAGGTTGATGCACCAAAAATACGTTCCAACATCCAACAGCAAGCAGTCTTGCATCAATGGCGTCATGACTTTTCGGGTTGTTTTTCATTTTTACAGTTTTCCTTTACAGGACTCGCACGCTTTTCTCTTATCACAGACTGCCTCCCATAGGCGTTGTCAGTGACAAGAGTGGCTGCTATGGGTCAGTTGGCTTGTGTTTTCTTTTCATCTTGTTTTATTTTTATTTTACCTGGGGTTTGTTGGCCTTTGCTGCCTTAACCATGAGCACCGAGCTCGGGGATTTTCAGGGTTAGGTTGGTCGATTGTGTCGTGTTGCGTTGTGTTGCGTTTGGTGAAACGAACTGATAGATTTCTGTTACATTTTTTTGTCGGCTTTGCATTCTAGAAGAGAAGAGAAGAGGCTCTCCCGACCACCCACATTGGCAAAATGGCGAGCATAGACAGGCACAGGACAGGAGACAGAAAGAAGAAAGGGAAAGAAAAAACGGAACAACAGGAGGCAGGCAAAAAGGCAATGTAAAGCAGGGGGGAAGGGACGGGATTTCCACCTTCTCCCCAGGGAAGGAAAAGCACGGAGCAACAACAAGCGGCAGCATTTGGAGGGGGTACGGTTACGGTTCGCATACAGGTACCTCCTCGTGTCTCTATCAACATGGTTCCGGCGTTGTTCCATTGTCTTTTTTTTCTTTCTCAGCATTAAACTCATCTTGCAATCGCCTCTGTTAAGTACACGATGAACAGATGGCATTGCATGATGACGGTCTTCGGTCTTCATGGTCACCCGGTGTCTTTTGGGCTGGTTCAAGGGAAGAGTTACACAAAAAAAGGGAATGGGGCTGGGAAAAGGGGGGAAAAGGTAGGCAGCGGGGCATAGGAGAGGGGAGGGAAGAAAAGGAAAGGGAAAGGGAAAGGGAAAGGGAAAATGTGGTGAATACATGAAAGGGAAAAGGAATATCGGGGGAGAGAGGGTGAAGGGATGGGGATTTGAATGTACCATCTAGGCTGTTTGATGGATGGCATGGTCGAGGGAAGTTGTGTCTATAGATAGTAGAGTTAGATGGTACATGAGAATGGCAGTGGAGAGTGTTGATGCAAGCATATCTACCTATACTTGGATGAAGCACGTGGCTGTCTGTGATTGTAAGCTCGTTCTCGTGTCTCGAACCTTTTCGAATCCCATGGTGAAAATTTCCATACACTACGTAGACATGAGTTGATCATGCCCGCAGGTTAGATAATCATACGGCTAGATGGCAATGTGAACTGACAAGACAATCCAGACAATCATAAGAGGCACCCGATAGCAACTCGACCATTAACACACTTCTTATTCATCTCATCCCCATCCCGTCTGAGCACCTATGTCAAGTTGTTGCACACATTCTCTTTTGGCAGGGTACGTAATGTAGTCATTAAGCAAACTTGAACCGAACCGACCAAGTTCCACTGACAAAGAGTCCAATCCAGAATCTACCTCAGATACCTCAATCAACGGGACGATGGGTATTCATTCCCTATCTAGCATACTCTCCTTATTCAACTTAGATTTCTTTCACTGGATGCTTTTGCCCATTAAACGTAAAAATCTTTGAAACGCGGAGACATTTCGAGATAATCGTACTACTACCCGGCGATCAAATAGGTAGTGAGTTGTAGTGTGTTTCGAAAAAAAAGGCCGGTCAGGGTTGATTAAAAATCCCCGGTCGCTGAGAAGAAAAGGAGTGACTAGAGGTACCCGGATATTGAGTACTGCAGACGGGACTGAGTGGAGGGGTAACTAAAAGGAAAGAAGGAAGGAAGGAAGGAAGGAAGGAAGGAAACAGGCTACCCAGACACTGAGTGATCACTGTAGAGTACAAGTTTAACCAAAAGGAAGGAAGGAACGAAACGAACGAGCGAACGAGCGAACCGGACCGTCTCTACCTCTACCTCCACCTCCAGCTTTACCTCTGCAAAAAGGACTACACGTATCTACCTGTCTCTAGTAGCGACGGCGAGGTTACTTGATCTGTACTCACTTACTTACTTATGCTCCCCTACTGAACCGCACACACACTACACGCACGCACGTAGCCAGAACCGCAGGACTCAATAAAGATTCGGTTTATTCGTTCCGTATGGAGAGGTCTCTATGTCAATATCTGTTTACCTACCTACCTGCCTACCTGCCTGCCTACCTGCCTGCCTGCCTGTTCGTAGAACCTGTCCGTAGGTAGAACCTGATACCAACCTAACATCGTCCCCTTAGCTCAAAACTTCTACGAGTTTCTGTAACGGTAGTGCCTATGCTAGTCTAGTGTCTGGAAATGGCACGACCCTTCCCTTCCGGTGCGTGTTGTAGTAAAACTGTTTAGTTGCCTAGCTATCAATAAGGACATCCGCTTCGCCGGGTTTGTACACTGAGCTTTGAAGTAGGTATCTACCTAGGGACGTATGGAGGACCTGTTGGTAAGCCAGATGTTGATTGATACGAGGAAGAAAAAAGAATGTGTTTTGGTTGGAATGGTGTGACGAAAATAGGACTGTTGAGGTAAGCACCTTATGTACGTATATCTTTGATCTCGATTGAATGTAGTTTTTTGTTGTGTTATGGAGCTGGTACAGGAGAGAGAACCAAGTCACGGTTGTCTAGAAACAAAGCAACTGTTTGAAGGAGTTTGTTTGTATCATGTACGAAAGTTTGATCATCGCCATGTAAAAGGTGAATTCAAGAAGCTCTCATGTGGAAGACAGATGGCTCATTGTTAGTATAAGTGGCTTGGAGATTGGGCAAGTTGGTTGTTCTAGTCTGAAAGTGGAATATTTCCAGGACGTAAGGGATAGTCCACTCAACTCGAACTTTCTTAGTCTTCAAGCTAACTCGTATGTTATTCTTCCCTATGAACAAGCAAATACATGACTGGTAGTGCTGCCTTAACCCGACCGCTAACTTGGGTCATACGCATATAAACAAGTAGAGAGAAGTGGTTTGTGCTTCGAATCATTAGTGAGGTGGCTTGCTTATATCTCTTCCTGACTGGTACAGGTGCTGCTGCTTTGTTTTTGCTTTTGTTTTGCTGCTGTTGTTGCCATGGACATCCGTAGCTCAACTGGCTCCCGCTTTCTGTTCCGTCCATTGTTGGATGTTCCACTCATCGATCTTTCGGTGTCGGCGGAAGATGAAGTCCTGTCATCCATCCATCCATCCATGCTCCTTCGATATCCATTCTCCCACTTTCGCTAAGCCCTTCTTCTTTTTTCAAAGTCCAAGACTTCAAGAAGAAAGTATCCATCATTAGGTTCCGGCGGTGGCATCAATCAATCGATGTGTCCTCTCTTCACATGAGCGTCACCATCCCCATCACCCCAACTTCACTCCCAGGCGTGTGAAATCATTTCTCAGCCCTGACAACTTTCTCAACCTCCTTCTCGACCTCGATAATCCGAGGCTTGTACCTCTCCAGCGCCCTGCGATCCTCTTCGGTGGGAGTATAGCCGAGCTTTTCTTCGGCCTTGTCAGACAGCTTGAGGCCGATGAGGCCCCAGAGGGTGAATGCGATGCCGACGCCGAGGCGGGCGCGTGGGGAGAGGTTGCGGTAGGTTCTGGGTCATGGTTAGGATTGGTGGATTTATAGTCTCAAAGAGAAGGGTAAAGGATCGCATTGATGACATGACATGACATGTGGGTGGTGTAAGTGGTGATGGGTCAACGAGTTCTGTTGATGAAGAACACTCACTGGAGGACCATGATCTCGGGCGAAAGAATGACAATACCAATCACTTGAGAATGGAATGAGAGAGTCAGTGTCGGAGTGAAGAGAGAGTGTTGACCTTCTGTCGTTGGATGAAAGCTATCATTGGTAGCAATAGCGTCAAGTTCACTTTAAGTAAACAGCATACTGCCCTATGATTGGTCAAGAAAGCAACTGGACGTTGAGGTTATAGTCAAGTTTAACCTTGTTTGTATTAGACGTGGATATCTAGCGGCTACTACCCGTGCTTGCCGCCAATTCATCCGGCAATTCGCTGTCCGGACCGAGCAAATGGGACCGGACCAATGGCGGTTCGTTGGTGACACGAACGGGGGACCAAGCTCGGACCCACCTAAATTTTGCGGTGCCAAAGGCCGTGGAGCGAGAGTTACTGCCGTCCCCGGAGCCGCACCGCAGTCCGCACCGCCGCGCCCACGATTGACCACTGCGACTCGGAGACGACGGTGCATACGGAGTAGCGGGCATTGGGTCGGCGCACTTTCACCAACCACCACCACCACCACCACCACCACATATACCACAACCGTCCGCCATGGCCTCACCAGCCGCCCTCCGGCCCTCCATGGGCGCCATTATGCAGACCTGCCGCTCGGCCGCAACAGCACCCAAGGTCGCCGTCGCCGTCCCGGTCAGGGCACTTTCGACCTCGGCTGCCCTCCTCAAGCGCCACAAATACCCGACCGCCCGCGTGACCCGCGATAACTCCAAGCAGCGTGGCGAGTCTGCGCTGCGCAAGTCCGGCACGCGCTGGAAGCTCTCCGTCTCCGACGAACCCCTTCCCGAGCCCGTCCCGCGCGAGGAGCTGCCCCCGATCCAAGTCGACGAGAACCACGGCCTCTGGGACTTCTTTTACGACCGCGAGACCGTCGCCATGGCCCCCCTCGAGCACACCAAGCACGGCCGCGCCTGGACCGTTTCCGAGCTGCGCAAGAAGTCGTGGGACGACCTGCACCGGCTATGGTGGGTCTGCGTCAAGGAGCGCAACCGCATTGCGACGGCGAACTGGGAGCGCACAAAGAGCGAGTTGGGTTTCGGTCTTGCTGAGGCCAATGAGCGTGACCGCAATGTAGGTGGATGACACAGGAAGGATCAATGGGTTACAGCAGCTGACACTAGTTCTTCTTTGATTTTTCTAGGTCAAGCAAACGATGCGCGGAATCAAGCATGTGCTCACCGAGCGCTTCTATGCTTGGGAGGATGCGGTCAAGTTGGCCGAGCAGGACCCGGAAATCGACCTGTCCAACCCCGAGAACCCCTACACGCCTAGCACATTCCTCGAGGCGGAAGAGACGGCGGAGGGCGCCGAGGCCAGCGAGGCGCAATCCACCACAGAAACCGACCCAACAACGATACCATCATCCAAGTCCCAAGCCGAAGCCCCCAGGGTATGAAGAGAGGGAAGCGGTCCCAAATGAACCAGACGGGCGAACGGTCGTGAAGGTACCCTTGCGGTAAGAGGACGAGGGGGGAAAACAGTCACGATACCCGTTTTCCAAAAACAAACCACCACACATTTGCAACCTGTATCGATAGTGTAACGAGCATCATATGTGTTCACTGTACAACAGCCAAATTCAACCCGGACAGGCCATGTTTCTAAAGAGGGAAGGACATGGGCCAGGGAGATTTTCATGAAGAAGCCAACGAAGCAAAAACAAAAAGCCCCATGGGGTTCATGGGAATGGGTGTCCAATATGGATTAGGCGGTCCCTGGTGAATAGTGATGGGCCGAACAACCGAGATCTGGGGTGCGTGAATCTCTGTATACCAACATCTCGCTTAGGACATGTCTAGATTTCCATGGTAGCTGGGGAGATCATCATCGGCGCCAACCTGAACAGGCGAGACCATGGAGAGGTCAGGAGGAAGGGCACGGCGGGATAGACGAGACAAAGCTCGTTTCCAAGTCCAATTTTTAGATACAAAATGGCGAGTGGTAGTGTACATATATCAGAATGATATATATATATATATATATGGATCTCTATATATACATATCAATTATCGTTGCGGGGACCAGATGAAGCAAGCCAGGGTTCTTTTCATCAGATCAGTGAACGGTCTTCATGTCTTTGAACATCAAATCATTAGCGAGCCCGAGTCCCACCAAGGGGGACATTAGGGGGACATTACTTTCTTGGCTCCGGTCTAGCTCAAAGAAGCTCAAAGCGGGGTCCCGTTCCCGCCCCTCATTGTAAGACTCCCCCACTTCCTACCACGACAGTGACGAACCAGAGGCCGGCAGCAAGAAGCCTGGGAGCCTGGGCTGGGCTAGGAGAGACCGCCTACGAGACCGCCCACCCAAACAGGAGCCCCGAGGAGACACGACCATGCATTGGACATGCCCCCTACTTTCATCAGAGAGGTGTCTGTTTGTCTCTCAATGGTTTTGAATGGTGGTTGAAGATTGACAGCCTGGCGACGATGGACATGATCAGAGCAAACTCAATGGATGGAGTGCCAGACGGAGACCTGACCTGGACCCATGGCTGACAGCTTCCTGCACCTGCACACCGTACTTGCAACAGGTGGAAGCTGCTGTCAGTCGCAGGGCGGTGCCAGCAATGCAGCGTGTGCAGGCAGTGGCAGCCCGTCGTCCCTTGTCCCCTACCTAGTAACCACCCAGGTATGGACACTAACGTGACAGACCGACGGGACGCCGCCTCCTGTCAGTTGTCCAGTCCAGTCCACGACGAAAGTCCACCAGCCAGTCCACTGTCTCTGTCCCTGGTCGTCCATCATCTCTCTCTGGCGGGCTACTTACCCCCATTTAGTATCAAGTGATCCGCCTTCAACTTCGTTCCTTCTTCCCCGTCCCATTCTTCTTTTTCTGCTTCTTCCATTCTCCGTCGTCGTGTGTTTAGCCTGCTTGCTATATACCACCTACCTGCCTACTACCTACTCTCACCACCACCACCCCCCACCACCCCCCTCTAATCCAAACACAAGCTTCCTACTACCTGTAGCTTGTTGCTTATAGCTTGCAGACCGCAAGACCGCCGACTCACCACAACAACAACCACAACTAATACTATCAACACCACAACCATGGCCGACGAGATCGCCAAGGAGTACGATGTCATTGTGCTGGGCACTGGCTTGACCGAGTGTATTCTCTCGGGTGTTCTCAGTGTCAAGGGAAAGAAGGTCCTCCACATCGACCGCAACGACCACTACGGCGGGTTCGTACTCCCCCCCTTCAACCCCCTATCGAACCATGAACGGAAGCTAACACGACTCTTTGCGCAGTGAGGCGGCGTCGGTTAACCTCGAGACGCTCTTCAAGAAGTATGGCAACTTTGCCGCCGGTACCGAGCCCTGGAAGGAATACGGTCGCCCCAACGACTGGAACATCGACCTTGTTCCCAAGTTCCTCATGTCCTCGGGCGAGCTCACCAACATTCTTGTCTCCACCGATGTTACCCGTTACCTCGAGTTCAAGCAGGTTGCCGGCAGCTACGTACAGCAGGGTGCTGGTTCCAAGGCCACCATCGCCAAGGTCCCCTCAGATGCCGCCGAGGCGTTGCGCTCGCCCCTCATGGGCATCTTTGAGAAGCGCCGCATGAAGAGCTTCATTGAGTGGGTTGGCGAGTTCGACCCCAAGGACCCCGCCACACACAAGGGTAAGTTTGGCCAACAACACACTTGCTGTCATGTTGTATTGTTCATAAGCGCTAACTAGGGGGCACTTGCAGGTCTCGACATGGCCACCTGCACCATGAAGGACGTCTTTGAGAAGTTCAGCCTCGAGGCCGGCACCAAGGACTTTGTCGGCCACGCCATGGCCCTCTACCTCAACGACAACTACCTCGATACCCCTGGCGCCGCCCCTGAGACCATCGAGCGCATCCGCCTTTACGGCCAGTCCGTCGCCCGCTACGGCAAGTCGCCATATATCTACCCTCTCTACGGCCTCGGCGAGCTTCCCCAGGGTTTCGCCCGTCTGTCCGCCATCTACGGCGGTACCTACATGCTCAACACCAACGTTGACGAGCTCGTCTACGAGAACGGCAAGGCCGTCGGCATCAAGGCCACCATGACGGGTGTCGAGCCCGAGATGAAGTTCGAGACCCGCGCCAAGATGATCCTCGGCGACCCCAGCTACTTCCCCGACAAGGTCAAGGTTGTCGGCCACGTCCTCCGCGCCATCTGCATTCTCAAGCACCCCCTTGCTAGCACCAACGACGCCGATTCGTGCCAGTTGATCATTCCCCAGTCGCAGGTGGGCCGCAAGAACGGTAAGTTTTGCGTCACAAGCATGATAACCCAAACAGATTCACTAATAAAGGGCTGTGCAGATATCTACATTGCTTGCGTCTCCTCGGCGCACAACGTCTGCCCCAAGGGCTACTGGATCGCCATTGTCTCGACCATTGCCGAGACTTCTGCGAACCACCACCTCGAGCTCGCCCCTGGTATCGAGCGCCTCGGCAAGATCGAGGAGCAGTTCATGGTATGTTTTCTTTTTGTTTCCCCCCGTCATTCTTGCCTACCTACCTTCTAGAAAGATAACTAACGCAATTTTCACCACAAACAGGGTCCCCCCATTCCCCTCTATGAGCCCCTCGAGGACGGCCGCAACGACAACATCTTCATCTCCAAGAGCTACGACGCCACCAGCCACTTTGAGACCTCGACAGAGGACGTCAAGGACATCTACCGCCGGTGCGCGGGCGAGGAGCTTGTTGTTGAAGGTTTGAGGGAGGGTATCCAGATGTCGCAGGAGTAAACAATGGACGACAGTGACATAAAGGGATATATGGATATGGATTAAGGCATAACATTAACAACATTTAATTGATGGTTTCCTCGTTTGAAAGCATAAACTGTACACATATCACATTAGTACATACAGGCTGCTGCTGCTGCTGCTCTGCTCTGTTTAGCGAGGTTTTACGGGCAGTCAGTCAGTCAGCCAGTCAGCCACTCCCCCCTTCAACTCACCCACTTTCCAAAACGTATGGATACGTATCGATTTTCTTGTAGATTTGGGATGGGATGGGAACGATTAGAGGAGATGGGTAATAAATCACATTAATCTCACCATGACGACAAAGTAATCAAATGGAAGTGGTGCCCCTGGTGTTGGCACAGTGAAAGTTGACACCGTAGAGATATTAGATGTGGAGATGATGCTTTCAGAGCCCCTGAGTTGGGAATTTCCTAATCACCGTGGTGGTAGTGGTGATGGTGGTAGTGGTGATGGTGTTTGAATGACCATAACTCGTATCAGACTCTCCAACGTACGAACATTCGGCGACAGGTGGAGATATACAAGACAATTGTTAACAGCAAGGTTCAGAACTATCGATGTTGTTGTTGTAGTTGTTGACATCCTTTTTTTTTTCTCTCTCTCTCTCTCTCCCATTTTGCCCAAAAACGCCCTCGAGATGGTAAGTAGTAGTAAGTCTACGTTATAAACATGATGTGTGTGTGTGTGAAAAAACAAGACCGTTGACGCAGAGATATAAGTATGGAATCATTTCTCCCCAAAAAGAAACAATAGCAAAGAAGCAACACAATCGCCAAAAGATGAGACGAGCCCCGACACGACACACCCAACCCAACCAACATATGGATCCAAATTAACGACGTTGTGTCTTGCCAACAGTACGCTTTCCAGAGAACTATAGAAAAAAAAAGGTTGGTTAGTTTACGTGTCAAGATAAAAGGGAAAAGGGGGATTGAAGGAAGGGGAAAAGAAAAAAAAAAAAAGACGTACCAAATGCTTGGGCATGGTAGCACCAATATGCCTGTCGGCCTCGCCGGCTCTGGCCATCCTGTTCATCTTGCGCTGGCCGAGCTTGGCCACCCTCTCGGCCTTGGAGCGGGCTGTCTCCCCGTCCATGCCCACACCACCAGTAACACCGTCGTCGCGCCTGTTTGTCGCGCCCTGGCCACGCTGGGCCGGACGGCTCTGAGAGCGAAGACGCTCGGCGGCGCTCTTGGGCGTGTCCACCTCCATGGCGTCGGGGTCCTCGGTGGCGTTGCGGCTGCGGGCCAGCGAGCGGCCGCGAGTGGGCTCGCGCACCTGGGCACGGCCACGCAGGTTGATCTCCTCGGTGTCGACGCCGAGCTGGTCGATGTGGTCCTCGAGCTGGGCGAACGACTTCTTTTGCATTTTCCGGGGGATTATGGCGCGGTTCTTGAGCGACTTCTTCATCTTGGCCTCGTTGCGGATCAGCTTGTGCTTCTCGCGGATGTACTCGGCCTTTTGCAGGATCTCCTCCTCCGACTCGTCGCCGAGGTCCGAGTCCGACTTGTAGAAGCCCTCCTTCTCGAGACGCTCCTCCTCCTCTTCGAGAGCGGCCAGCTTGGCCTCGATATCGGGATCGATAAAGTCGTAGACGTTCTTGCCGTCGACAATCTGTTTATCAAAGCGTGACATGTTAGTAACGGGGTTTGATTTAGGGAAGTCGGAATGCGAGAGTTACTGACCTCGGGAATCTTGTCGTACTTCCACTCGGGGTTGGCCAAGATCCAGTTCTCCCTGAGATCGACGTTGAAGACACCAGCACCACCGTTCTGCTCCTCGATATCCCTGGCGAGAAGTTTCCTCTCGGGGTCGGCCTTGTCGTACTTCTTGAGACCCTTGACGGCCTCGGGAACGAAGGTCTCGCGGAGAACACCATCGGCGGGCTGGGCGACGTGGATACGGGACATGACCTCGGTGAGACGGGAGCCCATGGTGCCGTTGCTGCTGGTACCGGCCTTGTACTTCTGATTGACACGCTCAACGAGGAGAGCCTCGCAAACGGTGTTCTTGACTTCCTGGACACCGTCCTGGGTAGCGCAAGAGGCGCGCAAAAGCTGAATGTTGCCGGACTTGGTAAGGTCCATGAGATCGGCCTGGGATTCGGGGTCGAGGTCCTCAACGGTCTTGATATCCATCTTGTTCAGGACAACGTAGACCATCTTGTTCTCGAAAAGGGGCTTGATGGACCTGAACAAGTTGCACTGGGCCTTGAGCGAGTAACCGCACTGCTCCGAGATATCGATGAAGAACATGACGGCGGCTCTGAGATGGGCGAGGGCAGTGACTGACTGCATTTCAATGGTGTTCATCTCCTCGAGAGGGTGGTCGAGAATACCAGGGGTATCGATGACCTGGTAACGGAGGTACTTGTAGTCGAGGTGGCCGACGAACAAGCTCTTGGTGGTGAAAGCATAGGGCTCGACGGGGGTATCAGCGCGGGTGACGGAGCGCACGAACGAAGACTTGCCGACGTTGGGGAAGCCGGCAACGAGGAGGGTACGGGTGGTAGGGTTGATATCGGGCAATCTGGCCAAATGCTGGCGGACCTGGTCGAGGTAGGCGAGAGGGTCTTTCAGACGCTTGATGAGGGTGGCCATACGACCGAGGGCGGCTCTCTTCAACTGCTTGCACTGGTACAAACTTTGCGAGTACTTGAGGAGACGGACGTAATCACGAGAGATGGTCTCGATCAAGTGCTTGGCGGTCGAGACCTGACCGAGGGCAACCTTGAAGTGGTCGGCATCTATCCATCACCTTGTCAGCCACTATTCCCACCAAGACCAGGCGCGGTTCACAACCCGCTGTTGCTGAAACCGCCTGTCGCAGGGAAAAGCGGGATTCGTACCGTAGAGAATGTTCATCAAGTCGCGGTGGAAAGGATGCTGGTCGGCGAGAATGGGGAAGCTCGAGACGATGGCGCCGAACTTTTCGCTGCATGTTTCCTGTGTGAACTTGACCTTACGGGTGTAGAAGGCTCTAATTCTGCTGACTGTTCGGTGTCGCGTGTCAATGATTTATTCGAATTCTCATACAAAGTATCGGATATCGAGACGACATACTCTTGAAACCGGCACGAACTGTTCAAAGTAGAGGTTAGCGATCATGCCCTGCTTCACGTAATTTTCCACATTGTACCACATACTCTGAGTCGGCAAGCGACGCTGTGTCCTCCTGTTGAACAGTTAATATCCTTCACCACCGTAACCAAGCCATTGGACTCGAACTCGAAGACTTCGCATCGTCGTGGTCGGGGGCTGTCGATGTCGACTTACGAGAGGATGATGTCGATGAATTCCTGTGCCCTGTAGAAGCGAGTTAGCGATGCCAAACAACAACACAGCAACCAAGATGTCCTTACGTAGGCACAGGGGCAATGTCCTTCCACGTCATTTTGGGTATAGATGTCAAGCACTTGCGGGTGAGAAAATCTCGGACTGGAAGTGCAGGACAATGAGGTCGGACGGACGGTCTGAAGGATAGAGACCGGCTGCGGGGGGGCGGCGGTGTTGGAGGGCGACGGGGAGGCGCTGCGCTGCCAAATGGAAAGTCTACTTCGAAATATTTTTCCAGCGGCTTGCTCCAATCGATAAGATAACAGCCGAGTGCCAGAGTGGATCGGAGTGTGCAATGCCACGACATCCTGCCAAGGGGTGCTCACTGCTCAAGGATTCGGCTAGTGTGGAATTTGGGATTTTCTAACCCCACATTTTCCCAGGAACCCCACTGCGCCCAAGTGGCCGATGACCGGGCTTTCGCGGGCCTGGCTCCTGGAATTGGCCCACTCGTAACCCACCATCTGATTGACTCGGTTGAAGACTGCCGCGTGTGACGCCGCCAGGTACTGAACCCTTCATCGGCCCCTCCCTCCATTTTCTCAATTTTCTCCAGGTTCCTCCAGCTATTCAGTTGTCAGGCAGACAGACGTCAAGGTTGTTCTTCTTCTGAAATCTCTTCTTCTTCCAGCTTCAATTCCAATCCTACAAATACTACGTACCAGCACAATGGCCGCTCTCTCGCCTTACAAGGCTGACTTCCTCAAGGCCTCCATCGACGGCGGCGTCCTCAAGTTCGGCAGCTTCGAGCTCAAGTCCAAGCGCATCTCCCCCTACTTCTTCAACGCTGGCGACTTTTACCGTGCCGACCTTCTCCAGGCCATCTCCACTGCCTACGCCAAGTGCATTATCGAGGCTCACAAGAGCGGCCAATTGGACTTTGACATTGTTTTCGGCCCCGCCTACAAGGGCATTCCCCTCGCTACCGCTGCCACCGACAAGCTTGCCCAGCTTGACCCCGAGACCTACGGCAAGATCTGCTACTCTTTCGACCGCAAGGAGGCCAAGGACCATGGCGAGGGAGGCAACATTGTTGGCGCCCCTCTGAAGGGCAAGAGAATCCTCATTGTTGACGATGTCATCACTGCTGGCACTGCTAAGCGTGAGGCTATCGCCAAGATCGAGAAGGAGGGCGGCATTGTTGCTGGCATCGTCGTTGCTCTTGATCGCATGGAGAAGCTCCCTGCCGCTGATGGTGACGATAGCAAGCCCGGCCCCAGTGCTATGGGCGAGCTCCGCAAGGAGTACGGCATTCCCATCTTTGCCATCCTTACTCTGGACGACATCATTGAGGGCATGAGGGGTCTTGCCTCCCCTGAGGACGTCAAGAAGACGGAGGAATACCGCGCCAAGTACAAGGCTACCGACTAAACGCTGGAGTTGGATTCTGATAAAATAGTAACATGTATATCACAGGTTTGTTCGCCCAGTACCCTCTGACCATAGCCACAACATCAAACCTGTGGCTGACACTCTACAAGAAGAAGATGATGAAGAAGAAAAAAAGAAGAAGAAGAAGAAGAAGGATAGGGATTGTCAGGTTCTGATTGCGCATCCAATCAATCTTTCCGCCGACTTTGGGATCCCACACAAGGTCTAATCTGATTCAACAAGTTTGGGGACGCGCCGAAATATGTTGGTTTCGGGAATGTTGCCGTTCTGAAATACCATATGATACCCACTAGGACGGGGTTTTGACGGCTTTCACTTCATAACTCACCAAGTCGATGACCTGCAGAAACGGTGAATTTCGGGAACGTCAACCAGAAAAAAAACCGAGGATGTTCAGGAAGTGCGACTCACCATATCATGCCACCCACCTCCTCCAAACTCGACAGGGCTCTTACCAATACACTTAAACCCAAGCCGCTCATAGTAGGTAACAAGATACTGTATCCCTGGTTAACTCTCGTCCTCAAGGTAAGCCAAAGGAATAGCACCTAGTTCTCACATCTTGACATATCAGCGCCACGCGATCCGCCACTTGCGCGTCCTTCATCTGTTGCAGGTAGGCCTTGATGATCATCTGGCCGATTCCACATCCGTGAAGCTTTGGAGCTACGGCCATGGAGTGCAGCGCAACGGTCCGCCCACTTTCTTGATGTCCTACGTCTGCCGACCGACCGCGACGAGTTCGCCAGTCTTTGGGATAGTCCATATCCTTGTCTGTGATGGTGTTTCCGGTGCAGCGCGTAGCCACGATATGTGCCACCAGTACGCTCTTTGCGCCATTGGGACGATCGGTTTCTACAGGCTTGGCAGTATCCAAGGTTTCGATTGTCCAATTCTTGGCTTTTTCTGGCACCACTGTGCAAAAGACACCTAGGCTCAGCTCAGGACAGGTTGAGAGTCGGTAATCGAACTGCGGCCGTTGCTGTTAGTCAAGGTTCGGCCCGGCGCATACTGCCCATATTGGCATAAGGTGAACTCGCCTTTTCTGGTGTAGCTCTGTGTGCCGGGTCCGGAAAGGCCGCATTCTCCAGCGCAATACAGGATTCGTAGTCAGACTTGCTGAGGGGTCGGATATTGGGGTGAAAGGTGAAGGGGCATGCTCGCTGCAAACGAGCTTGGGGGCTCTCCCTAGCTTCCCGCCTCTCCTTGCTGATGGTTTTCTGCAACTTGACGAAATCGCTATCGGCATCCGAAGACTCGTCAATGGCGTTGTCTGAAAGCCGATGAAACATTGTCGGGCGGCTGGGGCTGGATCCCTCGACGGATGACGGAGGCTGTCGCTCTGTGGTCGCCATGCTTCTCGTGACTCAAGCCTCCGATGTTGGGTGCGAGAGAGTCGAAGTTGGAGGTGGCTGGTTACCAGCGTCGGTGATACGATAACCTGAGGAGGAGGGGCTCAACCAAGCAAAGTTTCGGGTATGAATGGACAAGAAAGCTATCGTTTACGGAAGAAGAGCGAAAACTTCAAGCTGCTCACTAGTCACAATCGAAAGGGAAAGGTTCTGGAAAAAAAAAACAGGTATGTGAAAATAATGGGATGGATCGATCTTTTCCTTTTTTGCATTCCGGTTTTAAACCTCTATGACCAGGTGACCGACGAGTGCAAGCAACTGAAAGGGGAATAGACCTTCAACTTGCCCCCCGTCCCTCCAATTGTGGAGGTACATAAACGTCCAGAAGTCCCAAGGAAAGATGGATCGTCAAGTGTTTTACGCGACGATCCAAGCTCCCAATCTTGGGGCGAAGGGCCAATGACTATCAATACCTTTGCGCGTGACCTTTTCTTTGACAGGTACACGCCCGGGAACACATGAGGGGTTCGCGATTGTCAGATCTGTGACCTGACCGTGGTGTTACTCGAGCACCTCGACGTACGTCTATAAAATCGACAAGAACAATAACATGACAACCCTGGGTGCATCTCCCGGTCTAGGGAAACGGAACCCCTTGAACATTGTTCACATGGCCATGCTGCCCCTGAGTTCATACAACACATGAACTGAGAAAAACGAAAGCATGAACTTGTCCAGTTCCCAACTCGATGGTACTTCCGGTCCACAATCTCCTTAATCGTGATATCTTGCACTTCATCTCACCACCACCGAATTCACAAGCTCCCAAAGCTCCTCTGTCAACACCACGCCCGAGTCCCCGACGCCACGACTCCCCGAAGAAGCAAAGAGCTAAGAGCTTTGACGCCGGACTGCCCCCACCTCAGTTTCAGTCGAGCTCTCCTGTCCAAGCTCCCAAGGTCGCCAAAAACATCACCTCCAAGCTTTTTCCCTCTTTCTCGGCTGGCTGTGGGCATGTTACATCGTCAATTGATTCATTTTCCAGGACTTCCCTTCTTGTCGCTGATGGATTGAACTTCTCGAGACCCACTTCTTACTCAATAGTCTAATGGATTGACGTCACCGACAAGTCATTGCACACACAAACTTAACTATTCAAGATCTAATCATGATTTGAATTTGAATTAAAGGCGAATTGAGCCCCATCGGAATGATTTCACCTCATCATCTCAAGAGAACCTCCATTGTGGAAATGAAGTCCAAGTTGCAATACAACCGATGGGCTGGGTGACACCTGCACGGACGAGCAGGCCCGCAGGCACGGAGGGAGGTGGGGGAAAATGTCCATTTTGGTGCACACGACACTGAATCTCCATCACGATAAGGAGGCTCGGAGCGGGGCAAGATGTGGCGATAAGGGGGGGGGGACAGGGACCCGCGAACCTTTACGGATGGATGGTGAAATTCAATTCTCTCAACGAACTTTCTTCCACCATTTTCATTTACTCAAATACTCACTTCAAGACTTGAACGACAGGTTTTTTTTTCTTTTTTTTTCGGCCAGACTATTTGCGAAAGGCTCAGCAGACCATGCAAACCAGAAAGGAAGATAGTTTCTGGAGCACAAACATGAGATTCTAAAGACAGGTTTATTGCTTTCATGTTCAGCAGCACCTCGCGGGCAGGCATCAGATCATCACCAACATCACGTGGAAGACAGACATAATACATTCCATTGATGCTTGCTGCTGCCATCATGTGCCGTACCGAACACACTTTGACTTGTACGCTAAGCCCCGATATCACGACGCCGGACGACGCCCAACACGCCGTAATCACTAGGTAGTACTACTTGATGGATAGGTGATGTTTGTTTTTCGTCCCCTCCGTCACCACCTGACCTACCTAAGTATGTACCTGCCTGCTCTCAAACGGAACGTCCAGCCCCAATGAAAGCCCACGATGAATGAATGGTATGTACATTCGGCTTATGGAAGTATAAGCCGGAGTCTGGACTACACACCGGCTTTGGCGCACGACATCTCAAAACGGGTCAACCTGCATGAACATGGGGACTTTTGACACTTGACAAGCCGTGGCGGCCCCGGAACGCTGTCAGATACCGAAGTGGACTGAAGAGCAGATCGGGCTGGACGGGTGGAAAAGCCTTTGTGTGCGAGGCATCGGGGCAGGTTGTCGGGATAGTTAAAGGGTAAGTAGGTAATAGGTAGGTATCGGAGCTCGGAGGAGGGCCGGTGGACTTTGCCTAGGTAGCTTGTTTAAAGCTTCTCAAAGGCTAGATTGGTATACATAGTACACTAGACTTTGGCTTCAACTGCCGCAACTGATAAGATGGAACTGCCATGCAACTTGGAAGCTTGTCCGCGAACCACAAGTACTACAAAATGCTCACCTGGAACTTTAAATAGCACAAGGTCAAACAATGATAGTTGCTTATTCTAACCTAGGTATTCCCGTCACCTCAACAGAGAAGTCTCCACGTACCTCTGACAGCTTCCACGGGCATTGCGCAATTCCTGGAAACCAAAGCAAAAATGGCCAGGTACAGCGTGACAGTTCCAAATTTGATCACAAGCAGAAACCACCGTGTCGTAGCGTGCATAGTACTTACAAGACGATCAAGGTTTGAATGTCCCGTTTTAGCTTCAGGAACCTGTCACTAGGAACCACTCTCCTGTGGGAACTTCCGAATTGAGCCTCACGCCGTTTCGGCAGATTCGCGAGCATCCACTACTGGAAGCGGAGAGGCTGGCATGCTGGAAGAAGACAAGTCACGCCAAAGTTGTTCCCAAAAGAGAAAACACATGACAGTTGGCTTTCCCTCAAGTCTAGCGGAGTACGGAGATACTTTTTGAAGTTGTCCAGGAAACAAATACGAAGAAGCAAGACGTTGTTCATGTCCTTCCGATCGAAACTGGATTTGTTTACATACATGATCGCGATGCTTCCACTTTCACCGGGCCAACGTAGGTAGTCCTTACAAGTACCGTCCAGTTTTAGCTCCACCAACGGGGAGCTTCCATTCATGTCATGGATGGAGCTGCTAATTGGACAGTCCGATTGCAGCTACCTCTCTACCTTGGTTAAGTACCCTACCTGTTGATTCTGGACCTGTACCTAGTGTATAGGGCGCGGTCAACTGCTATTTTCAGGATACAGTGGTAGCTGTAACGGACTGGAGCGTGTCAATTGCAACCAACAGTCAGTCCAGGATCCTTGCATAAACAGTCCAGAAAGCTGCGGACGGCTTGCCCCGGACCCACTGGATCGCCCGCGTGCCTGCCTGCCCCAGAGCCCCTCAATAACTGCCACCCGCCCGGCCGCCTCCCTTCACTTTCTGGAATCTTAAACTGTACAATTACTCAGCCTTGCCTTTTCTTTCTGCTTGTAAACAGCTTTAGAATTCCGTTTCTTCCTCGTTTACACTTTCTCTTCCCCCCTCCCCACCATCCAGAGACTCTTTGGTCCCTCCAAGCACTCTTCTAGGTTTGGCCGGTGACGCCATCTCCCTTCAACATCTACTTACCGCGCTCTTGTTGTCCCGCCTAGGACGAACGACGTCACCATGTAAGCTGATGACAAGAGACAATAAACTGACGGAAGTCGCTACTCCCAAAGCCGCTAACGTGAGTCTCTTTAACAGGCAAATAACCATCGCCATCCAGGACACGACGGGAGACGATCAAGACTTCCTCTCCCTCCAAGTCTTTCCCGACATGACGCTCGAAACGCTGCGCAACTCGATCCAGGCGGAAACCAGCCACCACCCCAGCACACAACACCTCTACCACAACGGCAACCTGATCACCGACAACACCAAGACCCTGACCCAGCTCAACGTCACCGACGGCGACATGCTGGCCCTCCACGTCCGCGAAACACAACGGGCCACGGCGGTGCCCGAGTCACAGCAAGGAAGGCCAGCGGCGCCCCCTCAACAAGATCCCGAGTTTTTGCGTCTGCAGTTCCTGGCGAATCCGGCTCTGCGGGCTGAGGTGGAGAGGACAGCCCCCGACTTGGCGGCCGCTATCAATGACCCCCAACGGTGGGCGCAGCTCTTCCGGGAGAGGTACGACAGGGAACAGAGGGAAAGGGCGGAGCGTCATCGGATAATCCAGCAGTTGAACGAGGATCCGTTCAATCCGGAGGCGCAGGCAAGGATCGAGGAGATCATTCGCCAGGAGCGGGTTACCGAGAACCTGCAGACTGCTATGGAGCATAATCCTGAGGGTGAGTAAGCATTGTAGAGTCGGAGGGTTTCCCTGTTGTGGTCGGGAAGCTGCCGCTAACTTCGTTTTTCGTTTGTAGTATTCGGTACCGTACACATGCTGTATCTGGATGTTGAGGTAAACGGGGCTAAGGTCAAGGCCCTTGTGGATTCCGGAGCTCAAGCAACGATCATGAGTCCCGACATTGCCGAGGCGTGTGGTATCATGCGGCTGGTTGACAAGCGGTACGGTGGTATCGCCAAGGGCGTCGGAACTGCCAAGATCATTGGTCGTGTGCACACGGCTCCTGTCAAGATCGGCTCGCTCTTCCTGCCATGCAGCTTTACCGTCATGGAGGGCAAGAATGTGGATATGCTTCTCGGCTTGGACATGTTGAAACGTTACCAGGCTTGTATCGATCTGGCCAAGAACGCGCTCGTCATCCAGGGCGAGGAGATTCCCTTTTTGGGTGAGGCGGACATACCGAAGGCGACGGAGGAGGCGCTTCAGGATGAGCCTACGATTGAGGGTCCCGGCGGCACGACCATCGGCCAGCGTACCGGCGCGGTTTCGGGACCTGGTACTGCACAGCATCGCCAGGGTCAGGCTGGTCCGTCTACTGCTGCACAGCCGGGTCCCTCTGCTCCCGCTCCCGCTCCCGCTTCCGCTTCCGCACCTCGAGCGTCTCAAGCCCGGTCTTTTCCCCGGGAGCATATTGAGCAGCTTGTAGCACTCGGTGCTGACGAACAAAAGGCGATTCGGGCTTTGGAGGCA